GTCCATGCTCGGGCCTGGTGAACAAAGAATTTTTTACAGTAAATTTTTACCATCCTCTTTTCATTCCAGGCAGTGGAGGTTCCCAGTCTGAGAGAAAAAAATTTCACATGACATACAAATGGTCCACTTTAATCTAACCTTAGAATTTTTGTTACGCTTTTGGGCTAAGTGGCCTTAGTACAGGCGACGAAGGAAAAATTGAAGGAGTACAACGCTTCCTTACACCAAGAACACTAGGTGCCGACTGCAGCCTAGACTACACCTCCAGATGCAACATCCTAGAGCTGGAACCTCTCTGGAAGAGGTGACTTAGAATGAATCCTATATTTTACAATAAATTACTTCGTAAGCAAGTGCACTCATGTGGCCCGGAAATTAAAATAGTTGTAACATCTACTAACTATTTGCATAATGACAACCTATCAGCTGGAAATGAGTGTTGTAAGACCGAATTGCAAAGAAACTTCTTCCCCAATAAGTTCTCTCACATCTGGAATAGACCTCCTGAGGAAATACGTACTTCAGGCTCATTATGTCTTTCGTTCTGCACTTAATAAGCTCCTGGCAGATGATGAATCTATCACTTGCCTAAGCACCGTATATACGTTGTGGGCTGATGAAAACATACTAGGACCTCTAAACGTATAGGGTAAGGCTTTCATAAAACTCAAGTACCTTTTACCCCAATGGACTCATGAGTGGTGTTCGATTACTAGTCCAGCTAGTCAGACTGTGCAGTACAAAGACATAACCAGTGTTCCCTTTAAGTTTAGCAACAAAATACTGCCTATCTAGTAACTCGCGTGAGCATTATGTAAGAGAAAAAGGGATAGTTATTCTCATATGCATAAATTAAAGTTTACGTATAGTTTGAATGACCAAAAAGACAAGGACTTCTCTCCTCCCAGCTTGTTTTACGCGGTATTCCATCACCCAGTTTCTCCTTGAGGTTTCTTTTCTCTTCTCTTTTCTGCATCAGCCTGACGAGAAAGTCCGAAGTATTAGTTTGATCAAAATGTATCAACTTATCGGAAATCCTATTCTGTACGTAATACTGGAAACTTATGTTAAAAGTATTCAGCTGGCTCGCCCCCGATTTCCTATTTCTTGAACATCTTAACAGCCAACTCACCTTCCTACCAGTATCCTGAATAATGCCACATACTAAACCTCCAGCACAATAACTGGTCTCCGATTTCTGGTCCGTGACAAATGCAGCGGAAATCTGGATGAACAATCAAACCCAAGAGATCACTTTACCTAACGGCAACACATTCATAATAATGCTAGGCGACAGATTTCTCTGGTACTTTGTCTTGTATCAACCCATCTAATGGAAGTCAATTAACAGCCAGTGTATCTCCTTGACAATGTTGCATAATTTAATGTGAAGTCCGTGAAGTTTTACACGTGTGTATTATTCAACACCGTTGAACGACGATTCTTCTATTCTTTGATTACTTGCAACATAACAAATGTTTTCAGTACTACCAATCTGAATTGCTGGGAAGGGTAACACTTGAAGAGTGGGAAATGCCTGAACTTAGACGTTCACCTGGGTTAAGTGATTGTAAGGATACTTACTTATTCCTGAAATCATTGAAGGAGGCTATTATTGGTCAACAGAGCTACGAACACAAGAATTACTGTTAAAATAGACGTTTATTTGACGAAACAATGGGTTTTGCAGATGGGTCAATCATATCGACTACTCATAACGCAAACACCGAATATTTCGCCGTTTGATATGAAGTAAGAATTGTGAGTCGGAATGACTTAAAATCGGAACGATTTGTACTTACTGTAAAGTGATATTTTCACAACATTTAGACGCTGGATACCATGATAGAGTTTAACGTCCTCCCTCTGTATCATTCAAAACTGCTGAAACCTTCTATGTTTCTCTGCAATTATCAGTTTGATGAGGCCTGTAAACCGGCTTCTCTCATTTTAAATTCATAACTTGAGAATAAAGATATTTATTTATTTATCCGACAGGAATGAAAGTCATGTCTAATGTGAATGTAAAAGCGTCGCTCAAAAAGAAGAGGAAGTAACTCACCAATTTCTTGCTCAAAGAGGCAATTCTGGCTGAATTGCTCAAGTGCTTTAATTTGGAAGATCATATATACTGAGCTAGGTACCACGGCAGATTCAATGCGTTTTTCAAAGGACATGGGCCCCCAGGTTCATTGCAACGTCAAGATGTACTGTATAGACAATAATAAATAATACTGATAGCAATATACCACCTTCCTGATGAAACGATCTATTTTTGTTCGTTCATGTTGTCCTACCTGGGGTTCCTGAAAATTGTCTGCGTTAGCACACCATCTTATTTTGCCATCAGCCGATAGACAGCAGAAGTATTACGTCCAAGCCATGTGAGCCAGAATATGGCCGAGAAGAAAGCTGGCCAAGTGAGGCAAGAGTGGAACATATCCCAGCCCATTCTAACGGTCGATTGTCTGGATCAAATCAAAGGAGTAAATGGGACATTCAGGAATCGAAGGATGCAAAACCATGTTGTTTTAGATCAATACAAAGAATGTGAGTATCTGCGATGCTATAAACCCATCAGAAAGCATAATGGTTAATGGATAGTCTCCAAACAGCTAATAGAGCAGAGCCAACACATATAACACAGAATTCTGAACTTATTCAGTCGGAGTTCGGTAGCTTTAAAATCGGTTGGCCATATCCAAAGCAGAAGATGGTGAGAAATAATCGTAGTCGAAGACGACTACATTATTGGACAGTTAGAGTCAAGCTAAACACCAGTCTACTGTTGTAACGAAAGTATTAAAACTTCTCCTGTAAGTGGTAGCATAAATGTAATCAAAAGTAAGATTGATTATTTCACTCATCTCTTGCTATCTGAATCATGCTGGCTATTTTGCCGAATGGCTTTGCAACAGTTTCTGTTGGCGTCGCCTCAGTTCAACGTCATTCGTTCCGTTTCACGCTAGACATCTGGCTTAGTATGCGATAACTAGTATAAGATGTAGAAGTACGCAACAGGGCAATTACTAGACGGTGAGGGTACGTAAATTTCCCATACGATGGTAGGTTACTGAAGTGAATACACCGTTTGATGGGAATATACAAAATGTTTTCCCATTCCCTTGTGTTAAAGTGTGGAGTTAATTTCTAAAAGTGGTAGGATAGTGGATATCACTTGGATTGGAAGGGTTTTTCATGTGTATCTATCTTGAGTAATTTGAGACCGAAATTTTGCTGCATATAACTATTTTGTGCATGCAGTAGGAAGTTTGTCTGCAACATATTACCTAGAGTATCTTTCATGTCATTGTTATTGTTGTACTCGGTTGGAGATTTTTAAGGGAGGATTGTGATCTTTATGCGCTGAAACTAATCGCACTGCTTATTCTCAGCTACCGAATTCCTCTTTTAGTTCCTCAGAGATGCATATTTTGCAGGAATGCCACGTTCAACGACGGAGAGGAGGCAATGGTTTAGTGAAACTACTGCTTTTCATCCAATTTAGGCCAGTTTGTAGAGCATTCTTAGTGTTTTGTGTTGGTATCAGTAAGCTACACTGAAAAACTCTGAGCTGTAAAGTGCAGTTGCACAGGTGGTAAATTACCACTACATTTCTCTCATATTAACTGATGATTCAAGCGTGAATTTGACCAAGTACAGGGTATACCTGCGAATGAAGTGTAAACCAAATCACACCACGAGCTAAATCAGTGGCTTAGACAATTTTGATGTTTGAGAACTTTGGAGTCAAGGATTTCCTCGCCTAAATTTACTACGGGTAAGTGGAATGCTTCTATGTCGTTGATTAATAAGAGTCAAGAATATGTTTAGATGCACTTTAACAAGCCATTTATTTCTTACAAGGGTTGCCTTTCTCTTTTGTATCTCGGTTGACTTTAGGGTGAATTTTTTGGTATTTGAACAGTAAACCCTTTTCTGTGGGAAGCCTATTGTGAAACGCCGTATTTCAGAGGACACAGCATTCTTCGATACGGTATGGATCTGACCACTACCCTCGGCCCACTTTGAAGGTTTCTCATTTGACCTTTCGGAAAACCGTTGTAGCGTGGAAGCTTAGAAAGGATCCGGCTACACTTGCGGTATTAACAGTGCTGCTTTGGGTGACATATTCATATGAGGACTGTAAATTATGCATTTTGATTATTTTTGCTTTATCAGCAAATCACTGTCTGCTTAGATAGATGGTGATTACATTTTCAGTAAAGCTAATGGCTGTGGTATATACCGCAAAGCCATTCATATTAGTAAGCAATAAACAGTGAATACTTGACTGTATTGTATACAGGCCCAACGCCATTCACCTGTAAATTTGGATTCAGCAGAAACTCACTTTCCATGGTAGCTGGATCTCGTACCGATCTCCGCAGCAAGAAACCAAGGACCGAAGAAAGCCAGGCTAAGTATTAACAGTCTGTGAAAAGAATGAAGGACATATGGAAGCTAAACATACCATCAAGAAAATTCCACTGATTTTACCGCATGAAGCTTGGTCTCAGTAAACCCAAGTTAGTGGAACGGAATGAGAGGAAAAATATGGTAATTTAGGAGGCATGAATATTTCGCGTGCACCGAGGTTGTACAAGAACACGATGGAAAGACTTATGCCCATGAAAAGTCTTAGTACAACTTTCAGACTCTCAAAAGGGGAGCAGCTGAACCAAATATCTGCTTGCTGCACGAGAAATCAATGAACTCTGACTTCCACCTGGTACAGCATGCTTCTCAACACCTCTTGTTGTATGCTACATGATATCGAATTAAAATTCAAAGAGAAACTATAAAAATGGCATAGTCAAACAGGAATTCAAAAAGATATAACCACCATCAGTGACACAGATATAATAATGACAAGTGGGATTATCAGCACACATCAAACGCAGTGTAAATATGCGATAATTCACATTTTGTTTATATAATGCCTTAACCTTGAGTAAAGCCAACACCAACCATTTCATTTCTAGATTAGCTCTCTAGAGATGGGCATCAGAACCTCCGTAAGTTACAACTTAAATTAAAAATCAAAGGAACATAGGGTGCAAACCGTCTGTTCCTTTAACTATGCAGTGATAAGTCGTTACCTGCCAACCAGCTATTAGCAGACTACATGAATTTTATCCCATTATCTGTCATCGAGACTGGCATATAGGATTGTTGTGAGACTCCCATAGTTCAAAGAAGCCGTAAGTCATGATAAAACTAACCACAAGACATATCCAGTCACTCAGTTCGGCTTTGTTTTAACAAACTACATCATTAAGCTACCATGACGAATAATGTGAGGAGATTTGCACAGCCATGGAAAAGTGTTGAAGGGAACACATTACATTTTGAACTGTCAAATAAGAAAATATCCAGCCAATTATTTCTTTATTTTGTTGATGTGCCTAGGCTGAGCATTTATTTCCATCGTGATTGTCTTCAGTCACTAAATTGCACTATACCAGACCTGAAAGGTAGAAGTTATGAGTATAGTCAAATCAGTTTGTGAACTACGAGCTGGCAGATAAAATTTAATGCCAAGTCTTTTTGCGTATGGTAGTGAGATATAGATACAGGGATGTATATTTCCTAACAAACAATATAAAAGTGGTTGTTGTTGGTCAGAATAAGCTGTTTTGGAGAAATGACGTGTGTTTTAATGTCTGTTGTATGCATTTACATTGGTCCTAGCCCCAAAAACGTATCGCAATCAAATTCTAAATGATGTTCAGCTTTCTTTGGGAACGTTGTTAACCTTAAAACGCTAAGTTGGAAGAAAGCGTAAATCAGAACAAAATAATGAGGTTTCGGTTCACAATAGAAATAATTCCGTTTTGATGAGCTATAAATTGCTGGCACGGTAAAATTTAGACTTTCCGAGTTTCTTCCTATATTCATGACACTAGTCTTAACTATTTCAACAAGTATAACACCGCTCTATATTGTTGAAGGGTGAATTAGTTGGTGTTTTGAAATCGATTTCCTATGGATTGTTTTCTGTCTACACCTCAAATTACTGTCTCACTTATTTGTTACTCGTTTTGAAGCCATTTCGAGCTTGATTTAAGCCTTTGATTTGAAACGAGTCACCGACGAAAACAGTTCAATTAGGAAGTTATTTAAGTTTATTTTATCACCTATGCAACTAGTGACCTGACAGATTTACCTAAAATATACTCCTTCGTAGGTAAAAAATAGATTTTCCTGTCACCATGAAGGCTTATGAAATTACATAAATGCTTGGAAAAAGTGTGAATAAATACTTTGTGATCATCAATGAAAAGGACAAGTTTGAATCCCTCAAATTTTGTCCCATGCAAACTTAAGTTGTATGAAGTCATACACATAGCTGGATATACATATTAATGCTTGAGTGTGCTTTGTAAATACGTCCAGATGTATTGAGTGAGATATATGAAAATCGAGTAAAATTTCCCCCGGGTTTTGGTTTACACTTATCTATAAGTAGTCATTAACCAGGTGACCGAGTTCGGTATTTTCGTTTTGTACGATTATTTACGTAAGTACGCATCAGAAATCCAGTGGAGTGACCAAAAGAACTTTGTAGTTGTACACCAGAATAGTTAATCTCCTGATTTCTCAACCATGCCTTACAAGTTAAGAGTAAATATCATGAAGTTTATCTAGAGGAAGTAATAGGAAAATTTCCGGGGTTAATCAAGAAATGACTTGTTCTTGAGATTGGATTGGTGGGGTTATGATATGAATTTATACTCTGAAAATATACATATATATGTGTGGATATACTTAGTTAAATGAGACGGTCAGACGTGAGGGATGCTTCATCGAGGAGGAGTGATATATCTTAAAAACAACATAGAGTGGATTTCTGTTCTGGTTTATCTATTTAGTGTGTCAGTGAAACAAGTTTATTTACTGGGTAATCTGATACGAATATGAATGATAAATTGTGTTCAAAACGTCATTCAGCAAATAATACTGTTTCGTCATGTGATGTCTAATCAAAAAGTAAAATGGAATTACAATCTATCACAGTGCCTAGGTTTTGCAACCATATTGAAATTTCACTACCTCTCCTATTACTTTGACAAGTGTGTATTGATAAGTAGTTGTTTAGTTTTAAAATTCCTGTAAACTGCTACTGCTGATGGAAATTACGTAAGCATTTTAATATAGTTTATTTTCATTTGCCTAGCTCTTCACTGCATTCTCACGGGACTTATGGTATAGTAATTTAGTTTCATCATTAAAATTGTCTGATTACTGTCTAATAGATAGATAGGTGGATAAATAAATCCTGGTAGACGAGTTTTTTCCACTTTGTCATTATTTGTTTCATTGTTTTACAGCATTCATCAGAATGCCTTTCGATAAAAGAATCCTTTGCAAAGTATTGTTTTTTTAGGTAAGGTCTTACCAGCTTGACAATGGCAGTCCGGAACTGGAGCGTTTACTGCTTTAGCAATAGACAGAAACGATTGGATTACTATTTAGATGTTAGTCATAGGTTCAGCAGGAGAGAAATTTATTGCGTCGAATCTACCGATATACGTGTTAGAAACCATAGACCATAGTAATATATGTAGAGTTAAAACTGATAGCTGCGTTGTTCATGCTGCTCAAAAGAATAAGTAGGTCTTAATCGGAATATTCGAGTATATATATATATATATATATATATATATATATATATCACTCTTGTTTTACCCATCTGTTCTTTGTATACTACTGTGAAGTGCGGCAACTTGATACGATGAATCACTTGTGCACTAGTTTCTACGTCGGTTTTGTGTGTTATCTGTATGTCTGATTTAAACTAACATATGGCATCTGGTTCTCAGTGAAATAGTATGTACTTCAACATACTGCTCTTACTGGACTGTAAATATATATTTCTCTATATTCAACAATCCCTTTATCTACTTAAAAAAGATGGATGTGATATACATTTTTTATTCACATTAAAAAAAATTGTTTTTCTCCTAAAGTTGAAAAATATCTACTATAAAGTGACTTGTCGTAAGAAGCCTGAGAAAAATGAGAAGAAAGATGGTTTGGATAATCTTAAACAAGAATTGGATATGGATGAACATAAAATATCACTTGAAGAATTATATTCTCGGTTATCTTCTGATCCTGAAAATGGTCTGAAATCTGAAGAAGTTAAAGTTCGATTACAACGTGATGGACCGAATGCACTGACACCACCGAAGACAACACCGAAATGGGTGAAATTCTGTAAAACTCTTTTTGGTGGTTTTGCAATGTTATTATGGATTGGTGCTATTCTTTGCTTTATCGCCTATGGGATTCAAAAAAGTTCTGAAGGTGAAGACGTAAAAGACAATGTAAGTTACGTCATTCTGTGATACATTTTTGTTGTTGAAGATAAACTACTTCCATTAAGAGGACGCTGGTTAACATACTGTGGTACGTAACTTAGTTCTACAATGTCTATGTCTTAAAAAAGGAGTAAAAGTAGAGAAGCAGCTCAATTTAGCTCAATATACTACTAAAACATATCGGTAGCTTATAAACCGAACTCCTTGACCTGTAGATTATGCTAACCAGATAAGAGTGATAGCTTGTTTGAAGCCGATGTCATCGGTGGTGTACCCAAACTGATTCATCTCATAGCTGTTTTCAAAAAAATATTCTGGTTAATTGAGAAGGATAAACAAATATGACTCAAATCAGACCATAGATTTACAAATTATCTGCGAATTGCATGGCTCACATTGACACTTCAAACAGCTGATTAATCTTTTAACCGTCCAAATGTAGAATCAGAGGCTAAGCATTGTGATCTCAGCTGCCTGATTTCAGACGAAAAGTCTACTGACCCCACTGCGCAGAATTTTGACGTGGACCACAAAGTTGTAAACAGTGCAAATTGAACGCTTTGCCTTGTTTAGCTAACCTGTCTTGACGTTAAAAAGTTTTTAAAACTATTATGAAGCTTAGATTGTGCAGCAGTTGGGCTCATCATTCATTAAGGAGACATAGCGACTAGAATTTCTATAAATTGAGCTGCTAAAAAGGTACGAGGAAAATAAGCACTAGGAATCATAAATATATTTGGACAGTTATTTTGTTCTAATATTCTTGAAAGTACTTAAATACTGATAATCAGGCAATAACTCAGTAATTCTAAGGTAAAGTAGTCACTGTGATGAGTGGAGGTCTATCAAAATCATGTAAATAAGAGGGATGCTTGGGATTTTTTAACTGACACCATTTTCTGCGCTATGAAGATATGCGACTGCAAATCGAAGGATTAATATAATGGCTCTCAAGGTCGAGAGTAGTAGTTAGAAACTTTGTGAATCGATGTAATGTCTTATTATGACCATCCATCACATTTCAGGCTAGCTTTCTGATAAGCAATGGATAGGTTATTGATACGCACCAAGTAGGAGGAAACCTAAATCGGAAACTTCTCATCAGTGTGGTAGTAACATGAAACTCTAAACTAGGTTCACTGCAGTATTACACTAAATACTTCAATGGTAACATTTTACACTTGATCGACTAATTTACACTATGACTTGGGACTAGACGTAATGCAACGAACGAAAAGCACTCAGCCACCTTGTTCACATTCTTGAAGTAGACTATGAACCACATCTATTGTGTGAGAGCGAATAATACTACCTGGTCATCAAAACCTCAGTAGGCGGGAAGGGGTTCGAACCCATAACCACAGCCAGACAGTTACACTGATTATAATCCGGCACTCATCTATGTATATGATTACTGTCTGAACTGATAAGCGTTTTCGAAATATCCTTTGAACACATATTACACTCATATACGCATCGACGTAGTTGTTCAGTCCTTAGTGTTCAATAGTGAATCAGATTTGTAGTGTAACCACTAAGTGATATAATACTGCAACACATTGTATATTTTGGTTTTAGATGTAAGTATGCTTCCTTTTAAAAATTCAAGGTATATTCAGATCACATGGATTCAAATGAATTAGTCATTGTTATTCTAAAGTCCAAATAAACAAAAAGGTTACAATGTTAACCCAATACTGACTTCATACTATAGTGACAGGAATATTTCAACAAATTCTAAACTTCGCATACATTTTTGTTCAAAGGGATCATAGTGATCACACAAATAGCAAAACTATTGAATTTTGAACGACTACTGTTTGATATAATACCTTTCTGCATAAACTGAATAAAACATATATAGAATAAAATGAAAAAGCCTATTTAATCCTAGTAAAAACAGTAAGAACAACAACAAGAGGAAAATTAGATCATTTGATTGAATTAACAGCGTAAAAAGAAGTTTAATTTTACACTTTTCAAACGATGCGCATAAATCAGATCATGTGTAGATAAAGTATTCATCCGACAGAGCGTATTGATGCGGCTTTTTTTCTTCTTTGTATTACTATGCATAATAAATCTATTCAGAAGAAAGATTATTTTGAAAAGAATTTCTTAACATAGTTTTCAAATAAACATTTTTAAACATCTCAAGAAAACTGAGACTGTTGTTCTGAGTTAACTTTATGCTTTTCTGTGTACTTTGTTTTCTTTTTTTCTCTCTTTCTTTCTAGTTGTTTCCTCAGAGTTCAAGATTTCAATAGCTTTTGTAGATGTAATCATCAAGCTTATTAAGTGAGACCGGATATTGATCACTTCAACAAGATTAGTATTATTTCTTGATCTTGGCACTAATCCATCGCCAAATGAGTAGTTGATAAGGACATGACTGAAAATCAGTCACAGTGGTGCGAATGTATCCATTTCTTTGAAATCGTCTAAAGCTTGAATGTGTTGACTAACCTTGACCTTCAAATTTCTTCTCCTCTTATATAACTTTTTCTATTTTCATATCAATTCCTACCTATCCACTTGTTCTTTACGAAAGTGATATATGAAAGAAAATGCTGATGAAAGTCTTTCGTTCATAGGAAAAAAAAATGAAGGTTGAAATCAACTTCACTTAGTAGTTGGGTTATTTGATTTTAGGAAACTATGGTTCAGGCAGTTGGCTTCCAACCAAATAGGTCATGAGTTTGAACCTCAATCCACTTATCAAGGTTTAAGCAGCCAGGTAGCTCATCGTCTACTGCACAGATATACACATGGTTGCTGAGTGCATACTGATTTTCGCTTCTGATCTGTATGGCTTTGATGGTACAGAACTAGACAAATATTCTAGAAGATATTTGTTTCAATGCATCAGTTACTCAAGTTCCATTCCAGTTTCTGTTATGATTCTTTTATTACAATAAAATAATGAAAATACTATCTCTTTAACGCCATGTACTCATTGTCTTGACTGTAAATACACATCAGTGTGACAAGGCACAATCAAACTGAATTCTACACGTTTTGGTGGCCAGTAGGCAATTGATGTGACTATCTAGTCCCCATATCTCAGTTACTCACTGACAATCAATTTTGAGGCATAATTCTGTTACTTGTGGCTTGAATAATACCTTAGTAGTAAAGTTTTTGACTTTTACATTAAGTAATACAAATTTAAACCATTGTAGGAACATTTGTTTCCTTATGATTGGAGATATATACCTTGCTGACGAGTACTAACAAGAGTGGAACTTGTATGCAATGCATATTGCCGATCACTTTTTAACATTAAACCAAATTCTGCCTTAATTAGTTTCAAAATATAATCAGAAAATACGTAGTGAATATTTGTATTTTGAAAGTGATACTTCGTGAAGTTTTTAATTTTTTCAAACTACGCTTTTCAATTTTTGTTTTACTTAAAAAAAGATTAGAGTGTATCGAATGTCTAGCAAATAAGGTGTACTATGGATACACAGTGAATAAACTTAGAAACGTTTCAATTATTGAACACAGACTTCACTCAGTCGGAAAGAGTATGATTGTACATTGACTGAGATAGTTGAAACATACATATGTTTAGCATATTTTTAAGGCTGCCTTAACCTTGAATTGATATTGGCTAAATTTAGATTCAGCTTTAAGAAGTAAAAGGCTGTCCACAATAAGGTTTGACATAAATCTATTCGTTCACGTTGTGTAGTCAGAAGGACTGATTATTGTAGAACCTCGCGTTGAAGTGCACAGTTTGAGGTCACCACACTTTGTAAGTGGGTGGGAACCACAAAATATTAGGAATCAATGATAAAGGACCTTTTGTGATATAAATTAAAACCAGTACAAATGGACTTTTTCAAAATACCACCTATTTATACGCATCTTTTCCCATATTATTACACAATATGACGGTTTGACCTGATAGACTTGAGAGATTTCAAGTTGTAGCATACACCTGACTGGTTAGTGACGTAACTCCCTTTTCTGCAGTCAGATAGAGAAATAGATAGATGGGATTACTGTGTAGCGGCTTAAGTTACCACAATTTATATCAGCACATCAGATGACAATGGATCAAGGTGAAACATAAAGAAATAAACAAGAAAGCAGTCAAGGGTGGTAGTGGTGAAAAAAGAGCAAGGAGGAATGAGAAAATAACAAAATTGAGCACGAAGATCATAATGAAGATAATGCGTTGATACATCTGCAACAGTGAAATCGATTCTGAGCCATACCAACTCAAGTCCCAAACCACCAGTTTCTGCTGTCCCATGGACCCCAACTGAGAAGTCTGCATTCTTCCTACACTGATGTCGTGTAGCTGCTTTTATCCTTTTCCATCCTGAACCTACTTCAGCCAACACTGTATACTGAGACAAACGGTGAGTAGATATATGTAACACAGCGTCCCAGTCACTTGAGTAGATAAAGGTTTGCAACCTTATCAACTGACTTATCTCTTCTGCGAAAAATTTTAGACCAGACTTCTGACGTGGTGACATCACAATACATAGAGCTCAGTACGTACCGGCTTTAATAGGCGGTCAGACATCACAGTGACATCATAAAGCGTGTATTTTGGCGAAGGTTAAGCAAGTATTTTGTATCTGTGCAGAGATTTCGTCTGTCACTGACCTACCAGCGATTGTTTTGTGTAGGTTATCAAGAATTACTTTTTAATATCAACGAATTAAATTCACGTTTAAGCTTTTATTATAAACTGCTATTTTGTTCATATAACATTACCTTATACTAACTCATTATGAAGATAACAGACATCAGGTAGCTAGAAGGAACCAGTTGCCTACCGCATCAGATGTATTTGTATGTATATCTGCGTAGAAAACCAACATATTCAGGTTCATTCAATTGACGCATCTGAAATGGGACAAAGCGTATTTCATCATAAATCCTACTGCTAACCGGGGATGAGATATTGTTTTTTCTAAAGATTAGATTCATCTAAGACACAAACAGGGTGGAGTTCATGTATGTAGCACACAAATATATAGTCACATGAACATCAGATTGTCTGACAAGCTAGGTACCTTGGTCAAGGTAATTAGGTCTCATTATATATAGATTATGCACTGTTCTCCAATAGCTCTCACTGATTTCTCGATGCATGAATTACTGGGTCAACCCTTCAGCCTGGATTCATGACTGTAAGGCCAGCATAATTGCAGTCCAGCACAAAGCCGGGTGCATGCGGACAGTATAAAATATGAATCTTCCCATTTATTTTATAAAGTCGCCAGTAAACTGTAGAAAAATCGCTTTTTTTTTTCACTTCAACAGTTATATCTTGGTATTGTCTTATCAGCTGTTGTCATCATCACTGGTTGCTTTTCTTATTATCAAGAATCAAAATCATCGCGTATCATGGATTCGTTTAAGAAAATGGTTCCACAAGTAAGCGCGTTCTAGTGATTTGTCAGTTATTCTGATGAGTTTTGTTATAAAGAATAAATAGTATTTTTTTATTTGGTTGTTGTTGTTGTTGTACATGCATGATGTTTATCTTTACAGTTATCGTGTTAACGTCTCTTAATAAAAGGCACTGATATGTACATGAGTTCTAGTGTTCAGTGGATCTTAGGTCACTGGGGTTGTGTACAATTTCCTGATGAATGGTGGTCAGCAAGTAAAATGGTGCATTTCGTAGAGAATTTCCTTTCAACTATTCTTAGCCATACAACATCAAGGAAAATTGTTCACTGTAATGTTGAGTTATCTAAGTTACTGATTATCACACTCACTAGGCTGGTCGAGAGAAGCTGGGCAACATTATGGGCTAGACAGAGTAGTATCTATGAATATTACTTCCTTGCTTATCGGTGTTCCTATTTTGGAAACAGTTGATTTTATCTGTGGTTTACTGCTAGATAACGAGATGGAGGTAGGTATACCACTCGAAACCCTACGAGGACTGATTCTTTGTTGCACACTGTATGTAAAATTTCATTTCAAAGGAAGAAATTTACTGTTATCTAGAAAGTGTGGCAATGGGTTGACCATTAGGTCCTATTGTAGCGGACCTGTTGATGAAGAAATTGGAAAGTGGACCACTGCGTAACACGATAGATCAACAATTCTTCTATTGTAGATACGTGGATGACACTTTCATTCTGTACAAAAATGACATTAGTTCTGACATTCTCGATACATTCGACAGTGTTCACCCAGAAGTCGAGTTCGCATGTGAATTAGAGAAAGATGGGTGTCTACCATGTTTAGATATTTTTCTATTAAGATGGACAGATAGGAGTACCACACGTAGTATTTATCGTATGAAATTATGGGTCGGTCAGTATACACATTCCCGGTAATTTCTCTTCTCTTACGTACAAAAGGACTCTAATTCATACACTGATCTTTCGAGCCAGTAAGATGTACATAGCTGACAATTTGAACGATGAATTAGTAATACTAGAGAACTCACTATACAACAATGACTATCCTGAAACGTTCGTAAAAAGTGGACCAATTAAAAAAAGTTGAAGAAAATCGCCTTCAAATGGTGCCAAAGAAACGGTTGTACCCTAACTTAGCGTTCAAAAGAGATGCAGCTGCAGAAACTGGCATTGAAACTCAGAAATCTGATGCCGTCATACCATGTTTGAAATTTCTTACTGGCTGTATGATGCCAATGCAGTTGAAGGATAGACTTCCGAATCTGGTCACATCTATATGCATTTGTATACTTAACTGCTCCTGTGAAGATAGTTACGTAGGTAAGTAGAACAACTCGGCAAGCCCATCATCGCTTTATTGAACACTGTCCAGTGTGGTTAGGTAAAGGAATAGTGAAATCCATCAAAAGCTCAATACTTGCCCATCTAGTAGATACTGAGCATAAGATTAACAAAACCTCAGAATTTACTAATATTTGTAGTCTCATCACAATACTTTAAGTGTGTGGGCCTCCGATTGCTAAGCATAGGAGAAGCCATAGTAATTAAGATTTTCAAACGTGATTTATGTATTCCAATGATGTTTGTTCGTTCCCACTCCCTCCTATGGCCTTTAACTTCCACCCAGATACAATTACAATAATTTCCTCCTCGGTCATCTGGATAAATGTAAATATTATCTCTCTTTGAACTCTTATCATTGGCATATTATTTTTTGCCTTTAGTTTCATAAGTGATTAAGAACTATTTATACTGGAAGGTGATTGAAGGTGAAATGAAAATCTGGACTGCGGCCGGGTTCGAACCAGCGACCACTGGGTTTCCAGCCCTGTACTCTCCTAACTGAGCTACGAGGTCCTATTTCACTTCAGACGCCAAGGGTTATGCCCGACTACCATGTGAATTTGTGACGCATTACTACCGCTTAATCATATTCACACTGGGTGCCTAGTCAGGACTTCTCATCCCACTCTAAATCTAACTGAATAGAGAGAGGAGGAGCATCATGCTGATTATCATTTTGACTATCTGAGATAGCCGTGGTTTAGTAGACTGGTATTGATACTGTATGATATTTGGAAGTCAAATGAAAATTCGTAGCTCAGTTGGGAGACCATAGGGTAGGAAACCCCGTGGTCGCTGGTTTGAATCCGACCGCGGTTCAAATTTTCACTTTACCTCCAACTTTGGAGGGATATCGGTTCTCTTTGGGATGCAAATACGACATGCTGATAAGTGCCAACAAGCATGAAACCTAGGTGATATAGGGTTTTCTGCCAATTGCCTCCAACCATCTAACACCAATATGTAATCCACATATCAGTAGCAAAAGTATTCACCAGTATAATTTGTAAACGTAAACCCTGACGAGAATTTACCAAAAATACGTATTTGCTTCGAGGTCTGCTTTCTAAGAGTAGTATCATTTGTCGTTTTTTTCAACTACGAGTATCAAGATAAGACCCGTGATTATTGCAAGATGGTTTAATTAGTCACAGAGTGCAAAGATAACTCAGTCAACAGGCTTTTTGACTACAGTAGACTGATAAAGATCATTCATGTGTTGTATAGGACTAGGTAACGACTAGTCTATGTCACGTTATTTGGTGAAGTAATATTGGGAAGGAACCTCATTTGGTCCTGAAACAAAATACAACACAAATTCTCATAGTCGGTAATTATCAGTGTAAGCTGCGTTTCGATTATGGATAAGTATAAGCTATGGAACAAGTGAAAATCAGGATATACTGAACAGCTGGTTTTTCTTAGTTCCAGATTCCCTAGTATTGTTCAACTCGCTACTAGATAATCTTTAAATTGGGTAACTATTCACTACTATTAGTGAGTTACTTCGAGGTAGGCTTCTTGCAGTTACACTGCGAAGTTATAACCTGGGAAGTCAGCTAATTCGGATGTGAAAACAGATATCTACAGATGAAATTGGATGATAATCATGCTATAACCTAAACTGGTTGGGGTTGGAAAGTGTCAGGCGTCAAATTAAAGTTTAAATAATAAAGTGCTTGAGATAAGAACTGATAGTTTCTTCTCAACCCTATGTGATAGGGGGTTGGATGGGATTCGTGAGCACTCACTGCTAAGTCTCATACTAAGTGAAAACAGCTGCTCAGTGTTCCTTAGTTTTTACTGGTTTCTTAGCTGATGTCAACCAGGGGTGAAAACTGTGATCAAGTTTATTAGGTAACTTCAGTTAAATGTGACAATCGGGGTTTTATAATGTAGTTAGCGTAGATTATGCTATCCCCTTTATTTTTATATGGTCATCGGTGGAGTTATGATCTCCAGTCATCTTCAGTTGAAGTAAAGCAGGACTTTCATTTTCTCACTGTGTACTGGTCGAGGTTGTACTGATAAGTGGTCAAATCACCTCGATGTGATTATAAGCAATAAATTCTACTCGAAATACTCTCCTGGAAATAATCCTTTATCAAGTAAACAAATTTAATAGAAAAGAGAGGAGTTGACTATATTGCACTGGAAACCAACGAAGGAATAGTTCCTTGTTTGTAGTGAAACTTCACAATTTTTATGTCAGCACCATATATTGAGTCATGTCGAAGAGTTTCAAACTGAGACCAGATAGCTAGTTTTCAATGTTTTTATAACTGATGTTGATTGTATTAATGATAGATAGCGGCTGGCAGTGGAATCCAGGACACGCGTTTCGTCCTGCCTGAGACTCATCAGCTGGATGTGTCTGCCTCCCATTGAGTGATGTTGTCCCCACTGAGATTCGAACCGTGGAACCGACCGCTTCAAATGCCAATGTGTTATCTACTAGGCCACTGAGTGACGATACCCACTTCTTGTATGACAGGCATAGTTTCTGTGTTGTCACTTGTAATATACAATCGTTGATTGAACCGAATTAATCGGAATACTACAAGTGACAATGTAATAACGTTAATCCTAGTTGAAAAATCTACTTTATTTCACTTATGCCACCGTAGTTCATTCAGTTTTATTTGATTTTCGATTGTCATTAGGCATTCCTTTCTTTTTTTAGACTGCTCTTGTTATAAGAGATGGTGTAAAGATAGAAGTTGCTGCGGAAACTTTAGTAGTAGGCGATATAACTGAAGTGAAATTTGGTGATCGTGTCCCTGCAGATATACGAATTATTACAGCCAGTGCTTTCAAGGTCAGTTTAACTTTGGTTATTGTTATCAATATTTAATGCTGCATAGTTAATTACAATTGGAAAAGGGAACTGCTAATAGTCTTTACTTCATATATCAATTAAATCCGATATATAGTCGGTGGGAAATAAAGAAGTCCTAATTACGACTAACACTAGTTTCCGTGTTATGACTACTGTTACTTTGTAGAGTGTGAGTTTGGTCAGTGAGTATCAACATGAGGCCTAGCAACACTGCGCACTGGTCCAAGTTACTTCATGTCAGATCAAGTATCCCAAGGAAGGAAGTTAGCGAAATAGGAGAAAAACGTAATCAAAAGTAACAGGAAGTCATGGGAGGAAGGCATAAAATAACAGCAAAATTTCAAAAGGCAGTTAATATAAATATAATGTCTAGTGGTATCTGCGCCACTGAAATCACTTCTGAGCCATACAATAGAAAGTTTTCAACCGTAAACTTAAACCCCAACCGGGAAGTCTGGACTTCCCCATACCTCTCAAAACTGACAGTAAGGAACTTTATGAACTGATATTTTAGTCTGGCTGTCTTATCCTACTATGAAACAGCCTATGTTACGAAGGCAGTGGCGATCGAACACCCTGAACCTAGAACTTTGAAGATTGTCAGCAGAACTAGTGGTATATCTACAAACTTTCTAATTAAAACTGTTGTGGACAAACATCTTATGCATCATGTAAACATCTGACAGCAGCTATCTTATCAGATGACCAGCATCCTCTTCACTCAAAGCTCTATGTGTGTCAGTCATCAGGAGAGGCCAGAAGCAAGTATATAAGACTTTATGTACGTACTAAATATAAGAACTCTACAATACCGTATTTAGCCTGGATTCTGTGTGAGGAAGAAAACGGCAGAAATGAGCTAAATAATCAACTTTTGTTTTTGAAAGTTAGCCAATTAATGAGTAAATAGGTTAATATTATTATTTGTGTATTATGAATCCAATTACTGATGTGATTGTTAACCTAAATTAGCTCTGCGCTTTGAACAAAGTTGTAAATGGAGTGAATATTTTTACCTTTTATATTGTTTCTGTCCAGTTAGTGCTACATGACGCGCTGAAAATTCCATAGAGTATTCCTGAAAATATTTTTCAGAATAAAGTCTATTATTATTATTATTTATTATCCTGATATCCTGCACTTTTAATGGCCACGTTTCACAGGATGAACTGCAGTGCAATATACTGAGTCTTTAATAGGCAGTCGGATGTTACATCGGGACCCATTTAGCAAAGGTCAATCAAAGCTTTTGTAGCCGTTCAGAGATTGCATAGTTTACTAATCCATCAGTGGTAATCTTATTTCCCGTATAAGTGAAGCGCTAAACAAAACCAGTCACTTTACTTCTTGTTGCTAGATGGAGCACTAACACAAACCACATCCCAAATGTTCTCAAATTGTCACTGAAGGTGTTTAAAAGATTCTGCAACTTACCAGCATCTTCATGTAACAGGGCTGTGTCATCTACATACTCTAGGCTAACTAAGGTGTCCCATGTGACAAGGTCAATCCCTGTAAAGTCAGACGAGGAAAAGGGGACCTCCATAAACATCTAGATGGCAAATTCAAATACAAATGGAGGAAGTGGACATTTTTGATGAATATTAATAGATGTACACGATCAACCTGATACCTCATCATAGGTTATTTAACGTCCACAGATGTTCGAATATGGCGCATTCAGTAGAGTGTGATTCAATACTTTTTTGCCTTCACCTGACGGTTTTGAGCATGTAGAGTGGATGTTAACATGAGTGTTATTAAATCCTGCTAATTAGTTTTAGATTAAAAGCGATAATAACTTCTAGATTCCGTTGATCGAAACCAATAGCTGAATAAATAAGTAGGCACGGATGACCATCGATAATGTTGGACGGTGGCAGCGTAATATTGAAGTTTGAATAAAGTTGAACAACGTGTACTGTTGAATTCTGATCCTGTGTCTATATAGTGATATATTCTCTGCGAAAGCTGACAGTTCTGGTCACGATTCCATGTGGAGTCGTGAGTGCATATAATTAAGGGGTCTTAAAATTGAATGAAGCAGCCTTGTAGAGTGCTTTTTATTCTTAGGTTTCTGTTACTGATGTCAGTGAATATGACCTCCAGGTAAAAGAATCATTGCATCACCTAGTTGTCTGTACGATCAAATATCAATCGTTTGGGTAACAGGTTTACATTATTGTAATCCACTTCACTTTAACCAGTTGAATAGTGAAATCAACTCTCGAAAAGTCAATGTAACTGAGACATTGGGCGACATAGGTTTGAACTCTTGGGGGCGGGGGGGGATGTCAGTTTTCTTTAGGATGCAGATACGCTATGCTGACAAGTGCCAACAAGCATGAAACCTAGGTGAAGTAGGGTTAACTGCCAATTGCATCCAATCATCTAACATCAATTCGTTGTCCACATTTCGGTAGCAAAAGTATTCAACTGATATCGTTTATTGTCTGGATATTATTGTTGTTATTGAGTCGAAAATGTGTCATGATCATTATGTTATCTGCTTCTCCTCAGATGTAGTGGTATATTACTCTGATGCCTTTCATAATACTTCATAGCACAATTTATGTGAAGCGCTATACTGATACAAACGATAATCATGGATGGAAAGTTCATTTCCTTTTGGGCATTTATTTCGGTCGTTTAATCCACAGCGTAGTGATATAAAAGTTCGGAGTCGCACTTCTATTGCATTCAAGAAAGATAAAAAAAATCTGTTTTATAATCACTCCTTTAGATTCATATGGGTTAAATATACCACTGGATTAGAATGATATTTTCATGTTGGAAACACTTTTGCCATGTGTAAGTAGTGCAATACAGAGTTTTATGACAACATATATCAAGCTTACGAGAATGAATCTTGAAGTAATAGTAATCTCAAACAGTAAAAAAAATAAAATTGCTTTGATTACGGGTCGATATCAGTCGGAGGACGAGTGAAAACCTTGTTTTGTCCCAGCCTTTGACTCCTCAGTTGTGCATATATATGACTCTCTGCAAATCAGAGCCAAGGACTATCAGTTTCCACAGTGACCACGTTACTACTCAACCACTGGTTTGAAATCAAGTTTTCAATATCTTCCAACTCCTGTCGACTTGTCGTACAAAGTAAACATAATGCTGTCGATGAGTATTTGAAATTATACTCCGCTTGGTTAACTCTATAGGTCACAGCTTCTTACTGGAACTTATAGAAGTCTATCTAGATGCTAGGAAGGATTGGATTTTCGTTCGATTTTGAAGGTTTGTAGGTAGCATTGATTGGTGTCAAAGGGATTTCCATTGCTAGTCACTGAAAATGATAATATGCAGTTCGCGACACTTGACAACCCTGGTTTCGATGCTACATGGTGTTGTGCGTGTGCACTGCTGAGTAGTTCAAAACTATGCAGAATCACATGTCCAATGGAACAATCAGTTGTATCAAAGGCACATCGGAATTAAATATCTGTAACTAAACATTATTAGTTGATTAACTAAATCTCAACTATCTTTTTAATTTCAATTTCCAGGTGGATAATTCAGCATTGACTGGTGAATCAGAGCCTCAATCACGTACAGCAGAATTTACAAATGAAAACCCACTTGAAACAAAAAATCTTGCTTTCTTCTCAACAAATGCAGTTGATGGTAAGTAACTGATTTGTCAATCTATATATCACACAACTTCAGGCTTAAAAATATCTACCTATTTTGTAGAGTGATTTCAAAGACCATTTTATCAACAACTGAAGTGTTTTTTCTCAAGTTGGTATTCATCATGGAGTGACATCAGTTGGGGGACCATTGGAAACCTGGGAACACTGGAGAGCCGTTTCATCGGACCAGTACGGGACTCTTCAGCAGTGCGTATCCACGACCCTGCCACACCAAGGATTGAATCCAAGATCTTCACGTTCCATGGCCAGCACGTCAGCATTGAACCACTGGGTTGGAATCCAGCTGTCCATATTTCCAACTTCTGTCAGTTGACGACATAGTGTGACCATCACCCTATGTCATAGTTGGGTATTTTCCCCCACGGCCACCAGGTTTGTCCCACTGGTCATGAATTCTTACTGGGACTTCAGGAACCACCGCTCGAAACTAGTCACCAACAATGAACACTAGTTCCAGCGCTCTCAGGTTTCCAGTGCTTCTCTAACTGATGTCAGTACACGATGAATACTAACTTGAAAAAATCTCTAAATCCCCACAAATCCTGAATACAACTGTAATAACCGGTTAGAATCTTTTATTTTATGAAAAACAGCCTTTCCAGGCGAAATAGAGGAGCCTAATTGATTATTTTAGTTGTTACTAGAGTGGCCACCCTGACAATTGCGAAGATAACCAATCAGGTTGCGGTATTTTGGTTGGCAAGACAATCTTTCATAGAATAGCGGAATGCGATTGGCTGTTCCATCAGTTGCTAGGGTGGCCTTTAAAGTCGCCCTAAAATGGTCATCCCTGGCAACGATTGAAATAACCAATTAGGCTTCTTCATTTCGGCTGAAAAGGCAGACTTCCATAAAGTAGAAAAGTCTGATTTGTTATTCCAGTGGTTGCTAGGGTGACCTTTAAAGTCACTCCAATATCTACCCTACTGAAAGCAGATCCATTAGAAACAGCGAGGTGATATAAGCGAATAAAACTGAAGGAAAAGCTTGATGATTTTCTGGTATCAGTATTTTTCCACGTATCGGATGTATGAAGCTGGGTTATTATCACGGTAATGATGATGTTAACACATGTATTACAATGTGAATGTGCATTTACTATATCAAGAAAGAAACAAAAAAATGAACCTAAGCTATACGTTGCGTTTCTGTCTCTCTTGGCTCATAATATTCAAACCTTTTACTAAATGGTATCCAGTTCAAGCTTGAAATGCTTGAAAATGTTCACATTCCAAGTTTATGAGTTTGTAAAGTGTCCATGTTGAGTTGACTTAGGTATACGTTATAAATAATCAAGTAACCGCCTTGTCTAGTTCTGGAGCTATGTGTTATTGGTCGAGATGAATCATGGGATAGAATCCCACTTCGCCTATCAAAGTCTAGGTAGCCGGCTTGTATCATTAGATGGCACTCATAACCTCAATGAACGGAGGTGCAGTTTAGCTGGCGTGACTACATTTCATTCCTTTTTTTCCACCCTCTTTTTCTGATGCACAGTGTTCTTTAGAGTGGGAGCAGTTCCACTGAGAACTAGTTTTGGCCAGTTTTGAAATGTGATTCTGAGCTATGCTAGAAAAAAGAAACTATCTGGATCGTGTTGTTAAATGTCATGAGTCTGTAATTGGAGACTGGACTGATACTGATCTGCTTCAACTTTATATCGAAATATTAGGCACATTACTAATTTGTTTTGTCTTCTCACACACCCTTTTAATTTGTATTACTGTTAATATTTGTATTGGTATTATTTTTGGTATCTGTGGGGCCAATCAGTCGGAATGAAAACGTATACCAACTGAAGACCTTGGGTGATAGTCGCACTATATCGTGAATTGACAGAAGTTGGGAACTGTGACATACTGACCTCCGACCCAGTGGTTGAATGGTTAACGCGTTCACCGTGAAACCTGCAGGTCCTGACTTCAATCCATAGCCAGGTCGTGGGTGCGTACTACTGATGAGTCCCACAACAGGACGAAACAATGGTTTTCCAACTGATGTCAGTGCATGACGAATACTACCTGCAATATCTTTCTTTATGTATAATGTTACATAGTGTGAGAATGTATGTTCCTACATGTTTGTCCCGGTAGGGAAAGTTTGCTGATTATCCTTTTTATAGTTAACTTCTATATATATGTAGACGTTTCGACGTCATTTAAGACAATATTTCCCAATGCAACTTCATACATATTAGAAATGTATTAATCTATCTTTTAATCAAAATAATCTAATTACTACTTTAGGCACATGTCGTGGTATTGTTATCTCTACTGGTGATCGTACTGTAATGGGTCGTATTGCAAATTTAGCCTCTGGTTTAGAGCTTGGAGAAACTCCAATCCATAAAGAAATCAGTCATTTTATTCATATAATCACAGCAGTTGCTGTAGTTCTCGGTATTTCATTCTTTATAATTGCTTTCGCTTTGGGCTATCATTGGCTTGAAGCTGTCATCTTTTTGATTGGTATTATTGTGGCAAATGTTCCTGAAGGTCTATTGGCTACTGTGACAGTGAGTTTTTGGTGTACACTAACTTTATGATGTTATTCAATTATCTGGAAGATTACATTCTATCTGACAATATGATTTTGATACTGCTTGCACTATTAAGAAGATGGTTTTGTTCTGCAGTTATCGAATAAGCTAAATTGAGGATAAATAGTAGGGAAAACGATATCAAAAAACGATTGCTATTCTCCCAGTGGGTTTTATGCTTTACTGGATTAGGAGTATTAAAATACTGCAACTAGCTAGGGAAAAAGTAGTTGAATAACCTTCTCCAACATAAACTGAATTGTCGAGTTCGCTTATCCTGACTACACAGTAGCAAGAATCAAATTGTATAGCCTAAAATATTCTACCTTACCAGCTGGTTGACCTTAAAAATGTTTATGACCATTTAAACCGTTTTTTATACAACCGACTAGCATCCATCAAAGTGTACCAGGATGGTGAGCCTCACAACTTAGTGACAACAATGCGGAATGATCGATAGAATTTGGTCAGCACTTAGGACTGGATAACACGAGTTTCTTTGTTCTCCAGTGATCAATCAGCGTATGTAATCCAGTCTTATTGGAGGTCAGTCGCGGCTGGAATAGCTCATTGGTAACATCGCTGACTGAAGTACTGTGTTACGTGGGTTAGAATCTCACAGAGGATATCAGTCCCCTCTAGTTTGCAGACAAACCTTCCTGATGAGTGTCAAGAAGTACAAAATCTAGGTCCAAGGCTTTCTACCGATTGCCTTCAACTAACTGAAAACCATTTCCTGTTGAGTCCTTAGTTAGGTTTATGCTTTTGAATGTATTTTAACGTTCACATTATGCTTTACGGTAGCTACTGTTAATCCAGTAGTCACTGAAAGTTCTTTTTAGACCCTAAATGAAGTAAAATAATATACGTTAACTTAATTGACGTCTTAATTATGCATAAAAATATTGTTCCAATTAGTAGGTAAATTTTAGTGTACACTGAAATTCCATTGTGACAATGTTGATCATTAGGACCAGTGAAAGTCAAGTGAACAAGTGCAGTTTATCTTTTAATTGGAAAGTTCAGTCAAGTTGTAACTTTTATTCTAATGCCGTAAATTATACATGGCTTCCAGCTACTTAAATTCAGTGGTTATCAGTAATATAGAACTGTCTTTCTTCTGCTACTGATCGATACCAGGTAATGACTGATAACGAAGTGAAAATCCAACTGCTGGCGAGGTCTTCACTTCAGACGAAACATCGAGTCACAAAGAAAAAAAGCGATAATTCAGCAAAGAAAATTCTTTCTTTTTCGATGATAACAATTTTTAAAGCCGTACAGTCGTATTTACATATATATCACAAACATAGCAGTCTATTCTTGAGTAATACTGTATGATTGCATCATTGACCCAACTCGTGCTAAAAACTGTAATCGAGAGTGGAAATAATGAGAAAGGTAAGGAGTTTGAGAAAGTGGGAATTGTTGGTAGATATAAAATGTGAAATGACCGGGCATGCACTTAATAGATATGTAAAGAAGGTGAAGAAAGAAACAGCAGTCATATATGTTATGACCAGTAGTACAACCTAACAGTCTACGAGTGCTACGAACCTAACGCAAGAACGAATCGACTGTAACGCAAATAAGAGCGTCAACCACCACCACAATACCTGCTACGTGCGAAGACGAGAGAAAACAGACCCATGACAGAGAGCTTTTCACTGTCTCAACAACAGTTAACACAGTTGACCGTGATACTGAATAAATACATTTCTAAATGACCTTGACAAGCACTAAATCCAAGTATAGTTAACAACCAATGAGAGTTCATCCTTGAGAGCAGACGGAAGAAAAACTAGCGACAGTATAAAAGCAGCCATGTAGGTTGTTTGAAGGTCATGGGAAAAACACCAAGCAAAAGCTATACAAAGTTAGGGTGTATAGCAATAATTATGATGAAATCGTAAAAGCTGTGAAATTGTTAAGATCATGGTGAGATAAGAGGTTGAACATACTTCTTCCGTACGCAGAGATCAGGCTTGGATTGGTACATTAAGGTGTACAGTGAGATTATAAAACATGCATTGATTGAAGCGAATACGATATATTGGTGTTTACCAAACATCATGAACTAACTTAAGAAATATAGGCAATTGAATTCTGAACCGTCTACGTTCTCACCAGAAGCTTCTAAACACGACCGATACTACAGGATCTCATGGTGTCCAATGACAAGGAATGGAACCAAACAACAATTCACCCATATTCTCTAACTGATGTCAACTTATGATAGAAACTGTTTTTATATCAAGGAAAAAGAAGATTCGAAATACTTGATCCCACTAATCACTTCACCTGACTGGGACAGACAAGATTAAGTGTAATAGCTTATCGGTTTCAATTGGTGTATTTCACGAACACCCTAATCCTAACACCAAGAGAGAAACTAAGGGTAATAAAGACAATCGTACAGATAGTAGTGAACAGCTTGATAAATGTTTACATATAATGACGAGATTTTTACGTTCTTGGTATTATTTCGAGTAAAATCACTGGCCATGATGATACTAATAGATGTAAAACTGTGAATGATAGATTGGACCATGAAAGACACCCATGTAGTTATGAAGGAAAGAAGGGATAATTCAGGGAAGAAAATTCTTTCATTTTCGATGATATCATCTTCTAAAGCTGTGCAATGGTATTTACATCACAGTCTATTATTGAACAACACGGGGGTATAGTTGCATCATTCAAGTAGTGTTGGAAGTGAAATAAAGATTGGAAAGGAGTTGTGTAATAATCTAATAGACAGACAACCGGAATAACGAGAAAGGCAAGGAGTTTGATGTGAAATGGTTGAGTGAGCGCCCATTTGACAGATGTGTAATGAAGGTGAAGAAAGAAAAAAGGGTCATAATGTGAAGGTGATGATAGTAAATTAATTAATTATGATGAGGTCGAACAAGGAAAGGAAAAAAGTATGGAAGTGCTGAGACTATGACTATGGAAGTTTGTCCAACTCATCGTTGATTACATCACATACGCAGATTCTTCGACGGATTAGCTTCTTTAGTCAGGAATAATGTTCGCTTTAGGTTACTACAATATGTGTCTAGAAATTTACTTGCTCTTATGGAGCCGCACAGGGCACTCACTTTCTAAAGGTACCTCTGAGCACTATCTTGCATGTTTTTCGAGGAGACACCGCATATGAAAACGCAGTTCAGTTGGTAAACATTTGGTTAAATCTGGACATATGACTCCACCAGAGTCCTCCTGCAATGTTGTATACCAAGTCAAAGAGAATCGTTCAGAAGGGGTGCACTTTTAATGGTTGTGCACAGCGGAGGCACTGGCATTTCAACAATTCAAGCCTGATCCTTGAATACAGAAGAAGACTATTGAATCTTTTCTCTTACCATGATCTTAACACTTTCACAACTCTAACGATTACATTATAATTAGTTAGTTTATTATTATCATTATTGTAACCTGTGTTTCTTCCTTCACCTTCTTTGCCTATCTATGAAGTGGATGCTCACCTATTTCGCATTTCATAGCTGCGAACAGTTTTCACCTTGTCAGACTGTTTACCTTTCTTAGGTAGGTATTCATCATGAAAAGTAGGAGCAACACTGGAAACTTGGGAGCACTGGACAGCTGTTTTGGTCTAGCATAGGACTCCACCACGGTGCGCAGTAACAAACCCTCTTCTTCAGGGATCGAACTCAGGACTTTCAAGTTCTACGGTCAGCACGTTACCATTGAGCTAATAACCTTTCTTTTTTATTCCCATTGTCTGAAAGGTTATTACACAACTACTTTCCATTCTTGATTTCAGTCTGGACACTCGTTAGCTTAATGATGAAACCACGCCCACTTGTTCAATAACAGACAGTTATATGTTTGTGGTATATGTGTAGATACGATTGTACAGTTTTAGAAAATGATTTCTTCGAAGAAGACTGAATATTATTCTCTGAATCATCTGAATCCACAAGGTTTTTTTCCGTATCTTTTAGCTCAGCTGGTAAACCATTGGGTTGGTTTTCAGAGGCTACTGGTTTGAATCATTGCCTCAACCTAGGCTTACATTTTACCTTCAATCATCATGTATCAGTAATATCGTTCTGTGAAACTTTGGCTATCTAAGATAGTTCCATAAACTAAATTTTATTAGTTATTTTTTATAGAGTATGCTATTTTCTTGTGTGTACTTCATGATACTTATCTTTTAATGGTCCGTGTGTCTGTCACATACAAAATCTCTTTTATTTCACTTACTTAAGGTTTGCTTAACACTCACTGCTAAACGTATGGCTAGTAAAAATTGTCTAGTGAAAAATTTAGAAGCAGTTGAAACTCTTGGTTCAACAAGTACTATCTGTTCAGATAAAACTGGTACTCTGACACAGAATCGAATGACTGTATCCCATATGTGGTTCGATAATCAAATTTTTGATGCTGATACAACAGAGGATCAATCAGGCAAGTGAATTTTATCCACTATCTTCTGGTGTTTTATTAGTCTTAAATTTTATCTTAATGGTTTGTTTTGGTATTGGTAGTTTAAAGTGGTTTTATCTGCTGGTTTATAGTGATTTAATAATCCATGACAGTAAATTTCATCAACCCCAATGGTCTAATGTTAACATGATCACAGTCAGACTTGAAGTTTCTGCGTTCGACCCCTCACAGAGTGATGGATATGTACTGCTGAAGAGTCCTGGGCTAGAACCTGAAATTCGATTTTCTAAAATTATCTGAATTTTAACAACTTTTTATTATGCTTAAATTTTTTAGGTAAAAGTTTTGATAAAAGTTCTGCAACATGGACAGCTTTGGCACGTATCGCTATGTTATGTAGTCGAGCTGAATTTAAAGCTGGTGAAGAAAATAAACCTGTGCTTAGAAGAGAATGTAATGGAGATGCTTCTGAATCAGCAATACTGAAGTGTACTGAACTATGCGTTGGCAATGTTATGGAATACAGGAGTAAAAATCCTAAAACTTTGGAAATTCCTTTCAATTCAACAAATAAATATCAGGTGAAATTTTTGATTTAGTGTAGATGAAAAGTTTTGTATTTTACGTTGAATTGTCATTTCATACTATTGACTTTTTCCAGTTGATTTCAATGTGTTTCGCAGCATTCTCTTCAGCTGTATACAGATTAATAAGGTGGTCATAAAGGGGTAGTAAATCTCTTTGAAAAGCAGTTTTGTGGGATATAGGATAGTTGGACAGATTTCTTAGACAAAACTCTATAATTGATTGAAATGATACATGTAGAAAAGTGTTTTTGACAGACTGCGCAATATAACGAAGGGATGAATTGAAATATGCTGGTACTAGGAAAGGAAGATGAAATTTAAGCCCAACTCAATGAGTTTTTAGGATAGTACATACAAAATTGAAATAAAAGGGAAGTTGTCGTATTGAAATTGTTACCAAAGCAATTGAAGGCCAACTACTTATTCCTTTTGAATACAAAGGTCACTTTTTGACATCTGCGAAGCGAGACAGATTAGAATTGTATTGTCATTGATGATTTCTTAAAAGCATTTTCAGTGTCCACATCTGGTCATGTATTCAGTGGATGGCAGGCTATTCATTTGTTGATACCATTGGGTTGTTTCGGGTTCAAATTCCTTGGAATATGCTTAGCAAAGTGGGTAGATACTCGACACTTTTTCCCTTCGCTCACCGAAGTCGATAATTGAAATATATGCAACAATCATTTGTACTTTCATGGAGTAAACAATTAGCTATACCTATTATTTGAGGGGCATACGCTGGACCGATGAAAAGAAGATTTGGATTTCGCCGATGACTTATGTCTAATGTCACACAAACTCGAAGATCTACAGGCAAAAACTAACAGGTTGACAGAAGAGACAAGACAAGGCAGGGCAGGGTAGGGAAGGGCAGGGCAGCGAAGGCGGCACTCATTTCAGGTGACCGTAGAGAAGACAGAGATGATGAAGATACCCAACTGACAACCACCACCACCACCACCACAACAACAACAACACCATCACGAATCACCATGAACGGGAGAAGCCTAAACGAAGTTGTCTCTTTCACCCACTCACCTACCTACCTACCTACCTACCCATCTAGGAGGTAGCATCGTTTCAACTACAGGCGGCGACACAGGCACAGATGATGATGATGATGATGATGATGATGTGGAAGCCAGTCAGGATCAAAAAGATAGCAAGACAGGCCTTCCTTCATTAATATGAAATCAGTGCGGAGATCCACTGCAATGCAATGCAATGCACTGCACTGCACTACAGTGCACTCAGCATGGAGCGTGAACGAGATCCGGATTTTCAACACTAATCTCAGTCAAGTAAGTCAGTGCTTCTATGTGATGATGGTTGAGAGAGTTGGCGCGTTATGAAAAGCATTTCCAACAAACTACATACATACATACATACATACATGAACAGCTGCCACCTACACTCGCTTGGTAGTGAAGATCAGATGTAAGGAAACAGTAAGTAACAAGGAACTCTGGCCTGGCAGCGAACCACCCAAGAACCCATCACCCAATAAATATGCAGAAGAAGAAAGTGGAAATGGATTTGATTGGGCATAAACTGAGAAGACCGTCTGAAGACATCATGCACCAGGTGAGGCCGTTGAGTGGAACCCAAATTGGGAAGGATGAGTTGGGCGTCCGAGCGTGACGTAGGGGAGATGATGTGAAGAAGAAATGAAAGCTTGTGGGCAGTTGTGGAGCCAGGTCAAGAGGACTGCGGAGAAGAGAGTGAAATGGAGACGTACTACTGAAGTCCTATATTCCACTAAGAACCTAAGAGACAAACAATAAATCATAATAGTAAGAATTGTTTGAGGGCTAACGATATCACCTAGCTGCCAAAACGTCAGTAGACGGAGTGAGGTTTGAATTCATGACCAATTGGTTGAAAGTTAAGTGCCTTGAGTAATTACTCTCAAGGAATTATATAGTTAACTAATTTTAGGATCGGAGTTATACAATAACTTTCAGCGGTGCGTGCACTGACAAATGCGGAAAGCTTTCGTTTCAAATTAAAAGATACGAACCACTGGATGGTCGGTGGTTTGAATCCGGCCGCGGTCCAAATTTTTATTTCCCCTTCAATCATAACCCAGTATCAATATTAGTCTGCTACACCATCGCTGCTATCTCAGATAGTCAAAATGATGATCAAGTTAAAAGACTAAATAAGACTATGTGGATTTTAGATGTTATCATGATTATTAGTAGTTGTCAGGACAACAATGAAGACTTAAAGTTCAAAAAATAAGAGAAGAGTAAAAGAAAATCAAAATAACGATGGACGGATATTAACTTTCAGCCACCAGTGTTCAACAATTTCCTAGTTGATTCCCAACCCAACCAATCAATGCAGAAGACATGGTTGACGTGTAGGAACATGTATTTGGGATCGAAAGACTGTAGACAAGAACAAAAGAAAATACAGCTAATATATGGATAGTTGACTGTTTAAAATGATCCTATTGATTGGGTGATCCACCGTCTGTCTGTCTAACTGTAGATGTGATCACATAAAGTACATTTCGAATGATCTCTCTCCAGATCAGTCTTTTCTCTCAATGCCCATCTCACCTCCCTCTTCAAAAGAATGTTATTTGGGAACAGATTGAGTTGCGCTGTCTTAACCTTGCATCTAGATGACTGACATAGAGGGAGTTTCTCCTTGTTTATTAGGGGGTTAGTAATGTTCTCGATGTTCTTGCGGTGGGCAGGTGAATGAGTATGAAAATCATGTATCAAGCCAAGAAATTTACCTACCGATCGAGAATGAAGTCTGCGGTGAAATCTGGAGGATGACCTATGTACACATCATTTTGTGTGTTGACGGCCAAAGCCGTCCTTATGGCTGGCCCCCAGTCGCGGCATCGATGTTGTTAAGATGGACAAGATTCGACAAAATAACACATTTCACACGGAAGTCCAGTCCAATCTTCTTCAGAGAAATAATTATAAAGTAAAATATCAAAGGATATATGAAGACATCCGAAGACGCATACTTAATGTCCTCATCCAATCCTTTTCGAATAGTCATTGTCTATCGAAAGTATAGTTTTGACCATCTAAAATGACCATGGTTTCGAAGACTTGCCTTCATACTGGGTGATGATTGAAGATGAAATGAAAATTTGAGCTGCGGTAGGGATTCAAACCAGCAGCCACCGGGTTTCTGGTCCAGAGCTCTAAAATATGATTACTAATCATCCAGTATGAAATTGTATGTCTTCTGTTGTAAGCGCGTGTGTGATGATGTCCACATTCTACTTGATTGTAAACGAGAGACAAAAAGGTCACAGGTGATATTGTAGGCATTCAGTAATTTTATCAGTTAATTTAGGGTTTGTGGGATTTAGTGACTTTTCAAGGTGGTATTCATCATGGACTGACATCAATTGGAGGAAAATTAGAAACTTAGGAAAACTGAACAGCTGTTGCGACCTAGTATGGGACTCCTCAACAGTGAGCACTCACGAACCCGCCCTCCAGGGCTCGATCCCACAACCTTCAGGTTCCGTACGCAGCATATCACCACTGGACCACAGGGTCAGAACCCAACGGTCCATATTTCCAACTTCTGTCAGTTCATGACATAGCGTGACTATTACCCAATTTCATCATTGAGTATTTGTTCTTACGCCACTAGGTTTGTCCCACTGGTGACGACTTGTCATCGGAACTTCAGGAATCATCTTTCAAAGCTAGTCGGTCACCATTGAGCATTAGATCGATTAAATTTGGAGGTCTGCAGGGATTTAGTGTGGAGTCCTATGCTAGAACAAAATAGCTGTCCAGTGCTCCTAGGTTTTCAATGTTTGTCCAACTAATGTTAGTCCATGATGAATACCTACCTGAGAAATGTTATAAGTACTACAAAGTATATGTGGTAGATATGTGTCATTTTGATTGGTATATTAGGATGAATTTTTCATTAATTTGTCGAAATAGAGTGGAAATGCGTGATACTAGTGATGGTGATGATGTTGATAGTAATTATAATGATGAATCAAATCAATTCAGATTGTGTTATTGCTAATGCATAAACAATAAAAGTTGAGATTGATGTCGAGGGTAAATGCTACAGTCACCCTTTCTGATTACTAATTAGTAATCAACAAGAAGCGGCTGACTGTACTCTTTATCATCTATTCAAACTATCTGGATTTGCCCATATATGTTAGACTTCAGCTGTCAATCTTTCTTGGTTATAACCCAAAACCTTTTTGTACAACTTCAGTTCCGTCAAAGTCAGTTTTATGATCCATTTCTGTAGAGTGAAATAAGCGTCTATTTTCATGCAACAAATATCTTACGCTCTAACTGGATAGAAGTTAAAGATTTAGTACCTAAGAAAACCTCAAAAGAAGAAAGTTTATGAAGTCATATGCGTAGATTGTAATCCAGTATGTATCGGGGGAGATAGGCAGGTAGGTGGTTGTAAGAGTGAAGGAACAGTGACTGTGTCTTAAAGCAGAGGTCAAAAAGCTAGAAAACAAATCAATAACCACGCTACATCCTATAGAAATGAATCGCAAAATTAACTTTGACGGAATCAAGGTTCTACAAAAAGGTTTTGGGTCATACTAAGAAAGACTGACAACCAAAGCCTTATGTATACGGGCTAATCCAGATAATTTGAACAGACAAGATGGAATGCGATTGGCTGCCTCTTGGCAACTACTAATTCATAAACATTAAGCATGACTTCGGGAGATTATTCAACATAGACAGACATTTAGTACATTTGTGCTGTATACCATTTATGTTCCCTTAGGGTAAAGTTATTATTATTTGTCCTTTGGGTTCTTGGTGGAACATTTCATTTCACTCCCTTCTCTGAAGTCCTGCTAACCTGACTCCATGACTACCTACAAGCTTTCATTTCATCCTCATACCATTTCCTCCATGTCACCCTCGGACGCCCAATTCATCCTTTCCCATTTGGGTTCCACTCGACTGCCTCGCCTGATGCGTGATGTCATCAAACCGTCTCCTCAGTATATTCCAAATCCAATCCATTTCCAATTTCTTCTTCTGAATGTTTGTTGAGTGATTGGTTCTTGCTCGATTGGTTCGCCGTCAGCCAGAGTTCCTTGTTCCTTATTCTTTCTGGCCATCTGATCTTCTGCAGGGTAAAGTTAGCGATTAAAATTTCTATCACAACCACATCTATTTTGTCTCGATTATTTTTTGACGTCTTGCATCAGATTTTTGCTGTTAGGGAAACATAACCTTTACTAAACAGCATGATCAATATCGTTCACTCATCCATGTCTACTGTATCTCGGTTTGTCAGTCCTGCTACTTTTACAAACCTCCGTTACATATCAAGCTAACAAATGCATTGATTGGTCAGTCATTGGTGAATGGCCAATTTAGTGTTTTTTACTCCTTAGTATTGATCGAATTCCACTGATCGTTTTGTAATATGATTATTAAGCTAGGAAACTCTCTGTCTGATGTCGAAATTTTTGGAGGTGATCAGCAGAAAGATTGATTTCTTTAGGGGCACCAGTCCCCTCGATGGTACAGAGATGCGCTTTGCTGAAGAGTACCAACAGGCACGAAATTAAGGTCTGCAGATTATTACTGATGAGTTACTATCTTAGTCGATATGTTTACAGAATTAGTCAGAGTATAATTTAAGAAAAACTTGTTATCAAACATCATTTTGTACACTTTCATACATCGAGTACTTCAACCTATTAATAAGAAAAAACTTACTCATCAGGCTACCGGTGACACTGGTACTGAAAGTTTCGTTCATGTGAATTGAGTTTTGTGAAATCGTGTCAATGTATCTTTATGCTCAGTTCATCTTAGCTGTTGTAATAACTATTAAGAGAACTAATTGTTAAGATGAACTACTTCGCTCTAGTCAAAGGTGAATGCCAACTTGTTAGTTAGAATTCTCTCCCACGACCTAAATTTTTACTTCACTTCCAATCATTATCCGGTACATGAGATTCACCATTTTCCATGTCGGTTTGTATACTATTTGATAATCCCATATGTGGATGACATGACTGGAAGTCATCTGGTTGATTTGGAGTATGCAGACGATATTGTCCTGCTAGGTGAAGACGCTGACAAAATGCAGGGTCATCTGAACGCCTTCAGCATAAATTTGAGTGTGTTCGGCATGCGTTTCACTTGCGCCTGTCAAATGTAAGATGATGCTCCAGGACTGATCTGATGCGAGTACTCCTATTTTAGTGATAGGGACTGAGGCGGCAGAATTTATCGGCCACTTCACTTACTTAGGGAGTTGCATCAGCCCAAACTGGATGATTGCTGACGAAATCTCAGCTCAGATACAGAAGCCTAGCTTGGTATTTGCCGAATTGCATCACCTTTGGCACAGACTGGCGAGATATCTGACTACCTATCAAAAAACTAGTATACATCGCTGCAGTCCATTCTGTCCTGTTCTACGACTATGAGACATGGCCGCTTAAAAGTAGGAAGCTATGAAGTGGTTACACGTGTTTTGATCATAGGTATCTTCAAAGCATTACTTGCATTTCAGTGAAATCACCGTATGAGGAGTGTTGAGATCGGGCGAAGGGTACTAGTCAAGACAGGCAAGTCAATTGATGTGGTTGTGAACCTTCATTGCCTGAGTTCGCTGTGACATGCCGCTGCACATGCCGAGTCACCTCCTACCTTGACATGCTGTGCTACGAGAAGTTGTATTAGGTTGGAAAAGGGTTCAGGGTGGCGAGATTAAGACCGTGTGTCAGTCGTTGAAGTCTGTTGCTGTTGGTGTGAGTCGGGACAGGAGATCTCGACTGCCTACCTGGGGTCCGCGAGACAAAATGTATCAATGGTTCAGGATGGTTGGTGACATGGCTGAAAATGGGTCACAATGACCCAGGTGTATTCACTCCTTGACGCCTAAAGCTTGAATATTTGCACTAACAGTTATCTTCAAAGTGTTCATTCTCTCACACAATTTCTTCTTCTTTGATATCACCTTTTTTCTATCCACCTGTTCTTTGTACACTACCGTTAATTGTGGTATCATGAGCCGATGGAGTTGTGTACGAGTCTCTACATTGATTGTATCAATCAGTTAGGTGACAGGACGTTTTTAGTTACCATTACAGTCGGCAGGATTTAAATGTGTTGCTACCATTATTGAAAATTGTGACAAATAGTCGTCTAATATATATACATATATATATTTCCTATAACTATTAAATACTAATACCACTCAACTCTTTCTAGTTATCCATTCATGAAACCGACGATAGCGATAATCGTTTGTTGTTAGTGATGAAAGGTGCACCTGAACGTATACTTGATCGTTGTGGTACAATTTTGATCAATGGCAAAGAAGAAATTATGGATGAAGCAATGCGTGATCAATTCAATAAAGCTTATCTAGAATTAGGGGGTATGGGTGAAAGAGTACTGGGATTCTGTGATTATCGTTTACCAGCGGAAACTTATGGAAAGTGAGTAAACTTCATTCTATTTAATACTGTCTCTTTTGCTTTTGTGTCCAGGTAAATTATACTGTTGGTAATAATTGTAAGAAACCATATCTGTTTTTTTGATGCTCAATTGAAACTTTTAAGCACACGTAGTGCGCTAACCAAATCACATCATCATCATCAAGATCTACATAGGATCAGGCATTACTGCGTAACGGTCCAAGTTGCCACACCTCATATCACTACATACAAGTAACAAGGCAATAAAATGGAAGATGAAGAAGGAAAGAAAACTCGATCAAAGGAAGTAGAAGTAGAAAGTATTAAAAGGGAGAAGGAAAAATGAGATGATAAGATTAAGTATAGAGATTAGGATGAGGATAATGCTTGTGTGCATCTGTGCCAGTGATATCGGTTTTGAGCCATATCATCACCTAGTATCTCAAATCACTAGTTTCTTTTGTCCCACGGACCCCAACTAGCTAGCCTGCATCACCCTAATTGGCTTAAACGATCAGTCAACGACTTCATGCATTGATGCCATGTTTAAGTCTGGCCACCCTGAGCCTTTTCCCAACGTGAACCTACTTCAGCTATCATCGTGTGACGAGACATGGTGGCTGGGCATGCATAACACATTTCACAGCCATCTCAGTCAACAAAGGTCCACAGTCGCATCAACTATCTTACCTCTCCTGCCTAAAACTTTACACCTGACTTCTGCGTTACTCACATGGTGACACCACGAAACACGGTTTATGCTACGAAGACATTTGTGGTCGAACACCCGAAGCCTTCTCATGTCTTCTGCCTTTAATACCCATGTTTTACAGCCATACAGTAGAACAGAGTGGTCTGCAGGATAGTACATTGGACACTTAATAGACAGTCGGATATCGCGAAAACGCCGGAGATGGCAATAGTTGACAAAAGGCAACCGATCCTTTTGTATGTGTGCAGGGATTTCATTGGCCACTGACCAATGCACTAGGGCTGATCTGACTTTCCAGGTAGGTGAAGTGTTCAACGCGCTGAACCACTTCACTCTCTATTGTTAGTCGCGGCGTCGTTGAAGACCAGTCGTGGAGCAACAATTTCCACTTGGGTGGCGAGAAACGTGTTCCAAACATTCTCAAATTGTCACTCAAGGTGTCCAGAAGACTCTACATCTTGTCAGCGTCTTCATCTGACAGGACTATGTTATCCGCTTATTCTACGTCTAACAGAAAGTTCCTGTATAGTCAGATGACGAGAGAGAGACCTCCATAAGCACCAGGTCACAACCTACTTCAACATACGATTTTGGTCTAAATGAAATTATATATCGGTGATGGTTAGTGGCTTATAGTGCAATCCAGGACGCAGATTTCATCCTTTTTGGATGCGTCTGCAACAACATTAGGTGAAATTAGTTTGAAAGAAATCTAAATATGACCACATCAAGACATCAGATCAATTCATGAAGTCTCTCACTGACCATCTTGGCAATGTAGGTCAATGTAAGTTACCGCGTTGGGGTCTTTAAGATGATCGACGACCAGAGATACTGCTCAAAACTGATCATAATGACACCGATGTATGTACTTTTTGTTATCTTTGAGATCTTGAAGATTTTTGTGAACTTTTTTGTATATTTATCTTATCCCCTGATACACTTTTTCCTACTTTTAATGTCAAGGGTTTTTGTATCCTCTTATTTTTTGTATACTGATGTTATGTGTAGCAGTTTGAAATGAAGCACTTTTGTCAAAGGTTCATTCTTCAGTTGTCTGTCATCCCAAAAATAATTGGAAATAGTTTTCTAAATACACAATTTACCTAATGAACCATTGGTATAAATACCTGATAGTTTGGATTTTTACCCTATGAAACCCATGTGAAATCTAACAATTATTTTTTAAACAATAAGAAACAAAGAATGTGTCCTCTGCACGATTTATTCAAAGCAAAGAATTTGACATTATTACCTCTATATTGTTCACTGTTTTATCTTCTCTTAGAATGCTAAGGCAATAAGTGTAAGATACATAGGAAGATCGACAGATAGAATAAGATAATGTTCAGTCTGTTTAAACTGATAATGGCCCGGATCAGTAAAGTCAGTCAGATGAAGCGAGAGGTATACTAATAAAAGATATAAAAGGAGAAGCGATACGTGAATGGGGATTTGTAATTTTTCTGTTTATAATGAATACATCTTCGCCTATGTATGACATCAACGTACATAATGAAGACTCCTGTACCATAGCGCACACTTTTATAGAACTCATATCAGCAGCGAAACTTCGAATTCCAGCCGATGGATTGCTGCTTCAACTCTCTGTCTCTCCGGGTACAGAGCTGTGAGAAACTAGAGAGTATGAGTAGCCCTCACACAATAGATATGACTCATTGCCTAATGCACGTGCATATATGTGGTTACTGATTGTATTTCAATTCGATTTCATTTTATCAATGATAGACTTTGTAAGTTAACCATACGTTTTAGTCTGACTTTCCTGAATTTTTTCCAATCATATCCTATTTCGGTTAACATGGGTACATTGAAGGAGGTAGTGATTCGAAATGCGCAATACATTTAAGTTATCTGAGTCAGTACCAGTTTCTAACATAAACTAGATTAATTCCTTGGACGAAGACGCTAAACCTAACCTCTTGCCTTTTTTTCCACTTTATCTTGTTGAATGTGTAAAACTGTAAAAAAGGCTAAGTTGAAATATCCAAAGTTGGTAACGTATCATTTTTATTGTAATCTTCAAGTTAACCTTCCTATTTTTTCATGCCTTAAGTTTTTATTTATCTTTCATATAAATACCTCTGATAGGTATGCATGCAGTCATATTACTTCGGATTGTTTGCGCAAATATATTTCACAACTACTTTTTAAAATATTAGGTAATGGTTGAAGGTGAAGTGTAAATCTGGGTCACGGCAGGATTCCTGAAAATAGATTTCTACAAGTTCTAAATGTATCAACCACTTCAAGTGAGATGACAGGAGATAGTAATTGCGTTACAATGAAAATTGACAGGAGTCTGAAAAAGTAACCTATATGGCAGCAGAGTGGTAGCACTTACCACTAGCACTCATAGATTTTGATTCTATTTCTCATGGATTCGTAGATATACATTGCTAAGAATTCCCAAACTTGGATGAAATAACTCTCCACTCCTCTTTGGTCTTCACTACGTTTCTATCTGATTTCGATTTATAGTGAAAACTACTTGGCGTTGGATTATCACTTACTTAAGCACAACAAACGTTTTAATTGTGAATACTAATTAATAATTGAAATCTATTATCTTATTCAGAGACTATAATTTCACCGTGGATGAACCCAACTTTCCAACTACTGGATTACGTTTTGTTGGCTTAATGTCCTTAATTGATCCACCTCGAGCAGCAGTACCAGATGCAGTGGCTAAATGTCGATCAGCTGGAATTAAAGTTATCATGGTAACTGGTGATCATCCAATCACTGCAAAAGCTATTGCAAAAGGTGTAGGAATTATTTCAGAGAATTCAAAAACTGTAGAAGATATTGCAGCTGAACGAGGTGTTCCTGTTCATCAGGTAGTTAGAATGCATAACTTTCAAAATTGTTTATGTATACTTGTCGGTACAGAGTTGTATGCTGTATCCTGATAAATTCATAAATAACTGACCAAAGCAGGCGAATTATACACCCTTCCAGTAAGCCTAATCATAGAATTTAGACATTATCAGTGAGAAACGTTTTCAGTCAGTCAATTAAGAATTCGTCGAGTACAGGAGTTAAACATCAGTTCAACTTGAAACTAAAAGTTGAATGTAAATCCACTGGGTACGACTATAGTTTCTGGATAAATAGAAGTGAATACGAACTTGAAAAATCTTTAAATCCCCTGAAGTTCCGATGACAAGTCATCACCAGTGGGACAAACCTAGTGGCGTAAGAACAAATACTCAATGATGAAATTGGATAATAGTCACGCTATGTCATGAACTGACAGAAGTTGGAAATATGGACCGTTGAGTTCTGACCCTGTGGTCCAGTGGTGATATGCTGCGTATGGAACCTGAAGGTTGTGGGTTCGAGCCTTGGAGGGCGGGTTCGTGAGTGCTCACTGTTGAGGAGTCCCATACTAGGTCGCAACAGCTGTTCAGTTTTCCTTAGTTTCTAATTTTCCTCCAATTGATGTCAGTCCATGATGAATACCACCTTGAAAAGTCACTAAATCCCCACAAACCCTCAAATAAAAGTGGGGCCGATGTTGAACGATTGTAAGCGATCGACAGGAGACCTTGCTTCACCGATTTTTCGTGGTGATTGATACTTGTCAGCAAGACATATTCACTATTCCTTCAGAGATTCTGTCAGTTTTGGAGGCAAAGACATTGCTATTCGGGCAGTGCTCCACCTCCTGTGCGACTGGTAACCATTGTCTAGTTATAAGTGCCAGTCGAGTTTTATCGATTCTTTCGAAGTATAACTGAAATAAATACAAATGGTGGTTTATTATTGAGAAGTGCAAAACATCAAAGAATAAGTAAGACAGATTTTCTTCTTGGAAAACAGTAGCAAAAGGAGATGATTGAATAACTAGCCTTCTGTAATTCCGTTTCATCTAAATCATTCCTGTAAACAATTCTGTTGAATTGAACGATTTCACTTTTTTGTGGAGTTACACTTAAAGTGTAGTCCACAAACTAACTTTGAAAGCTCTGATTATGGAAAGCCAGTTTTTGGCGAACAATTAAACTATCAGAACATTTCAAGGTCAAGTTATAGATGTTCACTATTATTTCACAAATGAAAAGATATTGGAATAGCTTTAAGAAAGAATAGAATTTGATATAAAACAAACAGGGGAAGCACGATGACATATTCATGATTTTAAGTTTCCACCAATAGACAAATCTAATCACGCTGTAGGTCGATATAACTTTAAACGCCAAAATGTTATCCACTAGACCATTAAGGGCAAGAGTATGAAATTCCGGGAAATCAGCGCGAAATAAAATGATTATATGAGATAATTTCGGAAATGGATACTGGAATGTCTGTGATCAAATGATTTAACTGACGAGATTGTCTAATGTATCAACAATAGACTAGATTTCGACCCAGTGGCTGAATGGTTAACGCGTTCGCTGTGAAACTTGAACATCCTGAGTTCCATCCCTGGCCGGGTCGTGGGTGCGTACTGCTGAGGAGTCCCATACTAGGACGAAACAGGTGTTCAATGCTCCCGGGTGTTCATTGGTTCCCCAACTGATGTCAGTTCATGATGAATAATACTTCTAAATGTTATTTAAAGTTATTCTGTACACATAACTTTGCCTTACTCAGTGTTTCCATTGTACACAGAAATTTATTTGTCTACATTTTGTTTAACTTATTCAATCAACATCTAGGTTAATCCACATGAAGCAAAAGCTTGTGTTATCCATGGATCTGATCTACGTGATATGACACCAGCACAAATTGATGAAGTGTTAAGAAATCATCCAGAAATTGTGTTTGCACGTACTAGCCCTCAACAAAAATTGATTATAGTTGAAGGATGCCAACGACAAGGTGCAATCGTTGCTGTAACAGGTGATGGTGTAAACGATAGTCCAGCATTGAAACAAGCAGATATCGGTAAGTTATAAGAATGTAAAAGGAATGCAATTTTGTGTATGTAACAAGATTATTGTCTGTGAATTAATTGATTTCTATTGGCTTAAGGGCTCCTAAATGGATGCCTCAATATTACCTGTATTTTCATTTTTGACAATGATGATACATACTGTCTAGCAGTGGAATCCGGGACATGCGTTTTGTTATGTTTGAGACTCATCAGCTGAATGCACCTGCTGGCTTCTAATAAGACTCGAACCAGAGACAGACCACTTCAAATGCCAAAGTATTATCCACTAGACCACTTCTTATGTCACATATATAGTTTATATAATGTTGCTTATATTATCCGGTCCTTGATTGGGTAGGATTAATCTATTTCTATTGGCATATGGACTCCTGCTCAGACGCCTTGATATTGCCTGTATTTTCACTTCTGATATCAATGATGCTTAATGGCTAACAGTGGAATCCATTATCTTGTTAATGTTTAGTTGTTTAGATTATGCATTTTTTTTCACATCTTTTAGTGTACACGGATCCTTGACAAACGTTTCGATATGATCATAAGTTTTGGATTGACTATGATCACTGGAGCATAAGCAACTTCATTTTGTGTAGTCCTAATTACTGACCTAATTCCAGTAGTCATTTCATGGTCTAGTCATCAAGCTACAAGTGAACGTCACGGTGCACTTTAGTTAATGTCTGATGGTTAGAAGTAATCTTCAGAAAGCTCTAGACTTTGGTTTGAAGCTTGTTGGCACTTGTAAGCAAGGCGTATTTGGAATCTCAGAAATCTGAGGGTCGAAAATAGCTTAATAGTGACGTCTATGACTACAGTGCTGGGTAATACAAGAGTTGGGTTCTCTGAGAGAACGTCAGAATCCTCAAGGTTGCAGATACACTTTGATCTTGAGTTCCAACAAGCATGAAATGTCAATGAAGCAGGACTTCCTGCAGATTGTACCCAGCTGCCTTACACGTTATGAGCTTTATTCTGCTTTTATTTGTTCAACAATGACTTCAGTAGTTGGCTTCAGGATGCATATTTTATCATATTTTTGAGTCGTCATCTTAATATATCTGAAATCTACTTATCATTGGTGTTCTCTGGAGATGGATTGGGCATACACTGAGAAGACCATTCGGGGACATCACGCGTCAGGCCCTCGAGTGAAACCCCGATGGGAAGCGATGAGTTGGGCGTCCGAGGGTGACATGGAGGAGATCTTGCGAGGAGGAAATGAGAGCTTGTAGGCTGTCGTGAAGCCAGGTTGAAAAGACTGCAAAGAACAGAGTGGAATGGGAACGTGCTACTGAAGCCCTATGTTCCATTCGGAACCCAAGGAACAAATAATAAAATAAATAATTGGTGTCCTCACTATAATTTTTGCTCAGAATTTGTTATTCCGCATATCACAGTCACAGAAGTCAGCAGTCATTACTTTTCACTTGGTATCTTTTCCTTGCTCCATAATTTTCCAAACAGCATAATAATCATCGTAAAATGAATGATATTACTATTTTTAGGTTGAAGAACTCTAAAGTCATTTCAAAAATTGTGTACGGAGGTTTGTGGAGGTTTACTAATTGATTTTTTTTGTTGGAATTCATCATGAACTGACAACAGTTGGACAAAAATTGGACAGCTGGGGGCACCGAACAGCTGTTTCGTCCTAGTATGGGACTCCTCAGCAGTTCGGACCCACCGCCCCGCAAGGGATAGAACCCACGACCTTCAGGTTCCATGCGTGGCACGTCATCATTGAGCCACATCTTTCTACTTCTGTCAGTTCACGATATAGCGCAACCCAAATCCAGTGTCTTCGTTGAGTAACTGTTCTCATGTTCAACTTAGTTGACTACACTGATCACGAATTCTCATTGAAACTTTAGGACTCACCTCTGAAAGCTAGTCATCAATGAGTGCTAGGTTAATTCGATTTGAGTCTCGTACTAGAACGAAACAGCTGTCCAGTTCTCCAAGGTTCCCAATGTTCCTTCCTCCATGATGAATTCCAACCTCAAGTCATTTCAAAAATGTTTATTTACTTTAATATTCAAGTAAATCTGAATGAAATGAATTGATCATATCAAAAGATTAAAATTGTGAGACGGCCTAATTTAAATGTTAAGGCTGAACATGGATGGTTTCTATATCGAACTAACAAATTTTCATCCGATTGGGAAGTTTAGATAGCAAAAGAGACTAATCAGCCCGGTTGTGATGGTCAGTAGTGCAGATAATTAAGTACTGATTGAAACAGAAACGATTGTAGTACCCTCAGTAGACCAGTGGAGGTTGTAAAACCTCATCGACCCAAATAGTTGAAACATATAATTCCATATGCCCAGTTGCCATTCACCCTGTCATGCAGTGTTAGTTGAAGTAGATTTATGCTGGGAAAACATTAAGGGCGGCTGAACTAAAACATAGGATCACTGCATTAAGTCTTTGACTGTTCATGTGAGTTGTGCACGGAAATGTTGACATTGCGGTTGGGATACGGGTGATAACTAAGATCGGTAACTGCTGATCACATATTTCTCTCCCTTTTTCTCTTTAATCTTAGTTTCTTGATGTATTGATATGAGTTGTGGCAACGTGGTAATTACCAGGTTTTATGTTTGATAAGCATTTCTTGACCAAGCGGGAGGTAATCAATAAACTAACTTCTTCTGGAAAGTAAGACCAGCATTATTAGCTCGAAATCTCACACCTTCTGCTGTGTGTAAAAGACGAGTTCGAATACCCTTTAGAAGATTAGGTGGTATGCTCTAGATAATCTTGGAAGGATTGTTTTTATCTACCAGGTGACCACTATGTACCAGATGAGATAAAACACAGCTTGTAGATCTTATCTGTCTCCTTCCGAACCATGAAGGTAAATGCTCAATAACGCGTCTGTTATGATATCCAGTAGTATGCCGTATATGGTTTTCTCCACAAAAGCAGCTGGAATTGTAAATACGCATAGAAATGGAAAAGCTAGATAACTTACATTTCGTCTAAGTAATATAAGTTAGTCGACTGAAAAATGATAGAGTTCCGCAGCACCGAAAATCTTACTGATGACTCTGAAGAGCCTATGATATAAAACTTATTTGCCTACATCTCACTTAAAATTCAAATTTATGACCAGCGGTTTCTTTTAGTCGGTAAAAATTCCAGTTTTGTCCTTCCTCGCTTAGTCCATGTGTTTTTTATGATGCTGTCACAATGACCAAATTCGATCAGTGAGTTTCAGGAAATGAACAAAATAAAATCCGTGGAAACAGGCAACAAATGTGCATCGATCATTGTATGCTAAGATAATTATTATTACATCCCTTGGGTTCCCAGCGGAACATAGGACTTCAGCAGTACGTCTCCATTTCACTCTCTCCTCTGCAGTCCTCCTAACCTGGCTCCACGACTACTCACAAGCTTTCATTTCTTACTCACATCATTCCCTCCATATCACCTCGCCTCCGACACCCAACTCGTCCTTTCCCATTTCGGTTACACTCGACGGCCCCGCCTGGTCTCGCACATAATGTCCCCAAACCGTCTTCTCAGTCTATGTCCAATCCATCCAATCCATCTCCACTCTCCTCTTCTGCATATTTATTGGGTGATGGGTTCTTCGTCTGTGGTTTCGTTGTCAGCCAGAGTTCCTTCTTGCTTACTCCTTATGGCCATCCATATAATCTGATCTTCAGCATCGAGCGAGTGTAGGTGGCAGTTGTTCATGTATGTATGTATTTATGTATGTAGTTTGTTGGAAATGCTTTTCATAACGCGCCAACTCTCTCAACCATCATCACATAGAAGCACTGACTTACTTGACTGAGATTAGTGTTGAAAATCGGGATGTTGTTCACGCTCCATGCTGAGTGCACTGCAGCGCAGTGCATTGCAATGGATCTCCACACTGGTTTCACATTAATGAAGGAAGGCCTGTCTTGCTATCTTTCCGATCCTGACTGGCTTTCACATCATCATCATCATCATCATCATCATCATCTGTGCCTGTGTCGCCGCCTGTAGTTGAAACGATGCTGCCTCCTAGGTGGGTAGGTGGGTAGGTAGGTAGGTGGGTGGGTGAAAGAGACAACTTCGTTTAGGCTTCTCCCGTTCATGGTGATTCGTGATGGTGTTGTTGTTGTTGTTGTGGTGGTGGTGGTGGTTGTTAGTTGGGTATCTTCATCACCTCTGTCTTCTCTACGGTCACCTGAAATGAGTGCCGCCTTCGCTGCCCTGCCTTGCCCTGCCTCGTCTCTTCTGTCAACCTGTTAGTTTTTGCCTGTAGATCTTCGAGTTTGTGTGACAATGGACATTAGACATAAATCATCATGGACGAAATGCAAATCTTCTGGGGTTATTTCATCGGTCGAACAGCATATGCTCATCTTCTCACTCCTCACACATTTGTTTGTTGCATGATCCATTCAACCAGAATAAGGAAAATTGTCGGTGCTAGTAGGCAACTTGCAACATGACATAACCATTATCTAATGTTATTTGTTGATATTTATCTGGTTCTGGAATTTAGTGGACTTCAAAAATTATGACCCCTCATAGGGACCTAGAAAGGGCCATCTCGAAACAAGTTTCCAACTAACTACGGAATGTAACTCAAACTCATTTTTCCAATGGTTTCTAAATAACTTCACACCATGTCTAAACTAATCTGAAACCACTTAGTCTCTGAAGATCCTCAATACAGAATTTTCACTTCAAATAATACATGAGATGAATAATGTTAGGCGTAATTTGATTGATACCAAGGCTATTTTTTGTTTGACAAACATTTGAATTTCAAACCAGGTAGCATATTAAGTGAGACTATCCAATTGTTCATGCATTTAAATCAACCCTATTGGAATGCTGCTATCAGTATGAAAATAATTAGAACAAGTCAAGAAGCATATTGACTAGAGAACATTTTGAGGCTCTCAAAAGACTCAGAAAGGATGAGAACGTCATCATCACAAGGAGCTGGAGTCGTTATGATGGAAAGAGTTGATTATATGCAAAAAAATAACTTAATATTTCAAGACGAAAGCAAATTTTGGGAACCACAGTCAAGGAAAGACCTAACAGAAAAAGCAGAAAAGGACTTAATCGTCTCACTAAATAAACTGAAAGATGATGGATACATTCCTCATCAAGATTATTTGAAAATTTTGTAGACTATAGGTAACGCCATTCCACGCATGTAAGGCCTACTACAAGCTTGAGGTGCTTCTTCACCCTATCCTAGACATGACTAACTCGCCTTACCATGCTGTCACCAAATAGTTAGTACGATTACTTCAACCTTTGCGTGACCAGTTTACAAAATACAACGTGAAAGACACCTCTCACTTTGTAGACAAAATAAAAGATTTGAATGTTTGAAACAAATTCATGGGACCCCTAGATGTAATTTAATGATTCCCGTTGTAACATCAAGAACAAGATATTCAGCGAAGAAACTCTTTTCAACGAATTTATTTTCAAGCTGTACAATCGTATATATATGATATTTGAAAAAATTATATCCCGTGAGGAAAACTAAACACTATATGACGATGAAAATAATAATAGAGCGGATGATGACATAGGCATTTGTGATGTCACATCTTTGTTAACTAACGCCCTTCTAATAGAAACTGTCGATAATATTTGTGAACAAATATTGAAGAGTCAGTTAGACACGGGCATTCCGATTATGAACTTGTAAGAAACTATTGCTAAGCTGTACAATGAATGTCCAGTTCATCCTCAACAGTAATCTGTACAGAGAAGTTGACGAACTGGCTATGGGATCTCTGTTGGACCCAATATTTGCAGACATATTTTGGCAAAATTGGAAAATGGTCCTTTAAAAGATTGAATTACTAATATGGAGTTGTACTGTCGATACATGGATGATACTTTTTTAGTCGTTGATAGGTGCATATGTTATAATGCTATTCTGAACCATTTCAACAGCTCTCATTCATCAGTTCATCTTACATACAGAAATGAAATCAATGATTCAATGCATTTTTTCGTTAATGATAAGAAACAAAGGTGGCTCTATACTGAGAAGTATATATAGAACACTAACGTCTAAGGCACAATGTACGATGAAATACAAATGTAATATAACCAGATGCCTGACTTTTAGAGTAAGATCGATTTATTCTAAGGAGTGTATGAGAAAAGAACTACTGTATATCCGTGATATTCTAAGTGAAAACAGATATTCGGATAAGTTCATCAAAACTAACATCAACTAAATTTGTCTCTAAACAAAAACTGATGACAATGGGAAAGAATCCTTTGTTTCTGTGCTTACAACTCAAGGGAGATGTTGCAAGTGACATTCTGTTACAACGTCTAGCTAGAGCAGTCAACAGGAAGTTTTGTACAGATCTAGTTTGCCACTCAGTAGTCGACCGATGCTCAATCCAAGACTAAAGTATAGCCTACCTAATCTTACCGCTTCATCTTGCGTATACCAGTTTAACTGTTCATGTGGAACTAATTATATAGGGCGTACGATTAGGCATGTGCATTTCCGGACATGGAGATGCCACATGTTGGTAGCCAACGCCAGCTCATTATAGTCGGGGCTGATCAAACCTGAACTCTGAACTCAGAAAGAACATGTCCAAGCATTAGTTCTCCCTTGACCTTCAGCGAACTGAAGCCAACTCCTGACATCTTATTTGTTATCTTTTTGTTCACTATCATATCAGTCATCTGTGCATATATTATCGTAATATTGGCAAAGTTAAAAGACAGAAACCATTTTTTTGACAATCCTTATTTCTCATTTTATTTTGAAAATGTATTTACCCCTAACCTGGCTTGATTTTACGCTGTAAAAATGGATTTTATAATTGTAGAATTTATTGGAAAGAATATTCTTCGTTGTTCAGATTGTTGGTTTTTATAAATTAAACTTTTCAAAATATTCTATTCAAACTTGATATTCTTTTTGTAATTTAGGTGTTGCTATGGGTATTGCTGGCAGTGATGTAAGTAAACAAGCTGCAGATATGATTTTATTAGATGACAATTTCGCATCAATTGTAACTGGTGTTGAAGAAGGTCGACTTATCTTTGACAATTTGAAAAAATCCATAGCTTATACACTGACATCGAATATTCCTGAAATTACACCATTTCTAATCTATATTGCAGTTGGAATTCCATTACCATTGGGTACAATAACTATTCTTTGCATTGATCTTGGCACTGATATGGTAAGTAGAGTGATTTTCTCTGTTTTCAAGAATATTAAAGTATAACTGAATCCATCTAAATTAAGTATACAACTATCATAACTGAAGTTATTGGATTTCAGCAGGTTGCAAGCTATACTACTTTATGGCTCTGTCCAGTGGTTCAAAATGATGTTGACCAGGTCAATTGTAAATCATGACTTGAAGGTAATAAATCCACTGTCTTTACTTGTTATGTTTTGGAAACTACTATGGCCGCCAACGATTTGCGGATATCGACTGTCAGCCATCAACATTCAACATTTTCCTAGTTGATTCTCAAACCGACTAAGTAGAAGAGGAGACTTGATCGATATATGGCATCGAAAGATCGAAGATAAGAGCAAAGAACCAGACCAATCTTTTGTCTCTATCCCAATATTACCTCCCTCTTCAAAAGAATGTTATTTCGGGTCAAAATGGGCCGCACCGTTTTTTCCTTACATCTATCTGACTGATGCAGAGGGAGTTCCTCCTTGTTTACTAAGGAATCAGTAGTCTTCTTTATATTCTTTCGGTGGGCAGGTGTATTAGCATGAAAATCAGGTATCAGGCCAGGAGATTTACTTACGGATCAGGAATAGGATCTGCAGTGGTATCTGGAGGATGACGTTTGTATACATCGTTGTGTGTGTTGACGTCAATAACTGTCTTTATGGCCCCAGGATTACAGTCCCGGTGTTGATGTTGTTTAGGTGGACAAGATTTGACGAAATACCAGGTACCACAATGCCAGTAAGATGATGGGGTTGTCGGTTGGTATCTCATGAGTTACTGGACCGATGAACAGACGAGATGAGGCCATAGGTGTGATGCGGAGGAATGAGATGTATGGCAAACTGTATGTACTACAGAACCACCCTGGTGTCCAGATTGCTCTAAACTCGCATCACGCTGCAAGTTGCCCAGTCGTTGATATTCTGCAGACATGTCATTCAGTGTCTGGACTGTGGCGTTGAAGGTGCGATGACGTGGGTTTTGCGGCGAAGATATATTATAGTATTGGTCGAGCTAAGTTGGACCACGCTTTCAAAGTAGGAGACTTACCTTCTTGGAGTCGTCTTGACCAGCTAAATCCAGTCTGAAGTAGTCTTCGTAACGATATCGAACCAACTATCGAAAGTCTCATTGGCATCAGGATCGCAGTGAAATTCAGTGATGTTATTGGCGATGCCGTCAACTTAGGGAGGTATTAAAACTAGCGTAGTAGGCAATGATTCAGTGCCAGAAATTTTGGATTGCACAAGAATTTCGATATTCCTCATTTATTGTTCATGGAAACTGTCCAACTTCGAAGAATCTATTTCCAAACATTCCATTCCTGTCGCCACTATTATAGTTTGGAAACTGCTATGACAGCCAACGTTACACGGATATTGACTGTCAGCTATCAACATTCAACAAATTCCTAGTTGACTGCCGACCCGACTAATTAATAGAAAAGACACGATGGATGTGTAGAAACGTGTATTGGGGTCGAAAGACCGAAGAGAAAAACAAAAAAATAATAATAATAAAATAATCCTATTGATTAGGTGATCCACCTTCTATCTATCCAATTGTAGACGTGATAACATGAAGTACATTTCGATTGGTCTCTCTCCAGACTGGGCTTTTCTCTTTATCCCCATACCACTTCATAATGGAGGACTATTAGACTCTAAGCCACAAATCTATTGAAACTGGAAAAGTTTAATCAGCATTTTGAAGATTTTAACTTGAAGGCGAATTTCATGGATTTAGATTTTTTTAAAACAAATCTGGACAAAGTTAGAAGGACTAGATTTGGGGAATAAAATGATTGCATAATTTTATTTCACGAATACTCTTTAGCTGTATAGTCTCAAAGTACAATGGTTGGTTATGATATTTCGAAATTAGGAAATCAATAACTTGGTTCACATAACTAATCAGTAAATACTATCGATCATCATCTTAAGAGTTGAAGATCTGTACAAAATGCCACGAACTGGCATAGTTCAAACTATACTTAAAAGCAGATAACGTTATGTTCAGACTAGATGAAGAATCAGGTGTTGCCGTAATGAACAAAAATGATTGTGTGAATAAAATGTTACCAAATTTCAGCGATCAAAGCAAGATCCCATTTAGATGGTACTAAAAAGGATGCTGTATTAACAAACTAATACCTCAACTTTATCGATTTTGAAAAGGCGTTCGATAGGGTCTACCGAAACGTAATTTGGCAGCTGCTTGAACATCACGAATTGCCACAAAACTTTATCAACGTCTTTCAAAAGCAGCTATATGCTATATGATGCTACATACCAAATGATTCTCAAAGGAAAGCTCAGCGATGCCATCGATGTGAAGTGAAGGTAGGAGTAGGACAAGGTTGCCGCTTACTATCACTGATAATCTTCCTCATTCTGGTTGAATGGATCATGCAACAAACAAATGTGTGAGGAGTGAAAAGATGAGCATATGCTATTCGACCGATGAAATAACCCTAGAAGATTTGCATTTCGTCCATGATGATTTATGTCTAATGTCCATTGTCACACAAACTCGAAGATCTACAGGCAAAAACTAACAGGTTGACAGAAGAGACGAGGCAGGGCAGGGCAGGGAAGGGTAGAGAAGGGCAGGGCAGGACAGCGAAGATGACACTTCATTCAGGTGACCCGTAGAGAAGACACAGGTGATGAAGATACCCAACTAACAACCACCACCACCACAACAACAACACCATCACGAATCACCATGAACGGGAGAAGCCTAAATGAAGTTGTCTCTTTCACCCACCCACCTACCTACCTACCTACCTACCTACCTACCTACCTACCTACCTACCTACCTACCTACCTACCTGCCTACCTACCTACCTACCTACCTACCTACCTACCTACCTACCTACCTACCCACCCAGGAGGCAGTATCGTTTCAACTACAGGCGGCAACACAGGCACGGATGATGATGATGATGTGAAAGCCAGTCAGGATCGGAAAGATAGCAAGACAGGCATTCCTTCATTAATGTGAAATCAGTGTGGAGATCCACTGCAATGCACTGCACTGCACTACACTGCACTACACTGCGCTGCAGTGCACTCAGCATGGAGCGTGAACAACATCCCGATTTTCAACACTAATCTCAGTCAAGTAAGTCAGTGCTTCTATGTGATGATGGTAGAGAGAGTTGGCGCGTTATGAAAAGCATTTCCAACAAACTACATACATACATACATACATACATACATACATACATACATACATACATACATACATACATACATACATACATACATACATACATACATACATACATACATACATACATACATACATACATACATGAACAGCTGCCACCTACACTCGCTCGATGCTGAAGATCAGATTATATGGATGGCCATAAGGAGTAAGCAAGAAGGAACTCTGGCTGACAACGAAACCACAGACGAAGAACCCATCACCCAATAAATATGCAGAAGAGGAGAGTGGAGATGGATTGGATGGATTGGACATAGACTGAGAAGACGGTTTGGTGACAAGCAACCCAAGGGACAAAGAATAATACTAATAATTTACAATGTTGATTAATATCTTGGAGATCTTCTAAATGAGAGATCGATTGACATTGCAATATATAATGAACTGAAGTCGGAATGTTTGGATTTCTTTTCATGTATGGTTTGCCCAAAATTCATAAATCCAATGTACCTAATGAGGTTTTTAATATCAATGATGAATTCGCCATATCATATGCCGGCAAACTAATTAGGAAAATCGTTAGACACTGCCTGAAGTATGTTGGGGATCCACAGTTTAAAAGATACATTGGATTTTTCTCTCTATTCTGATCACTTTGACGACACGTTTGTTGTTGGTAATGATTTGAAACTTGCAAGTGAGTTGTTTGATAAGTTTCACCGAAATTCATCCTAACGTTATATTTACGATGAAATATGAACATGAGACAGAGTTTACTGGTTTGAACCTCAACGTGATAAGAAGAAGGGATGGTAAGATTGAAGAGACCACCCATAAAAGAAACACATTGCCCGAACATTACGTTAACAACATTTACTTCTATCTTGACAGCCAAAATCACACGGGGTTAGTCAAAACACTTTACCACAGAGCTAGGAAATTATGTCCTACGAACAAGTTAGAGGAAGAAATAAACGTTATTAAGAAGTATCTCCGAGAAAATGAATATCCTAAGAGATTTATTATAAAGTAAAGAAAAGAAGAGACTAAGGGAAGTAAACACCCAAGCGTGGAAAAGAAGGTTTTATGCACTTTACATTCAAGATTGATGTAATACCGAAGCAAATAGATACAAGAATCAAAGGAGCATCGAGAAGAAGCTTTCCAACAGCTAGATTTGTATCACTACAATATTGTATGCGGGTTACAGCAGTCCTAATTGAATAATTATCCCGCTCATATCAACTCAAACTGTATTTATGAATTCACACACATTTACGGTAGCAAGTATATTGAATGAACTCAGAATAGGTCATCTATTCAGTTCACTGAGCATATTCTCAAGAATGTGTGCTTAAGAGCAAGTAAAATTCTAGCTGGTATACTTCCCAACGCCTTGTAGACACAGGACATGGAAGCGATTGCAATAAAATGCTTTCAACCTGTTCTTTGCATACAAAGGGTGAGTGTAGTCGTTGTCTCTCACTCCCTTGATGGATATGATTTAATCCTGTTTCATTTTTATTTTCATCATAGAATTCTTTATTTATTTGTTTACCTTTTCCTTTCTTATATGTCTGTACATTTAGTTCTCTCATTGACATTGTTGTACAACTAGAAGCTATTAATTTCCTAATTTTGAAGTATCTTTATATCCTAATAACCAATGTACTTTTAAACTGTATGCGGCTGAAGAGTATTTGTGAAATAAGATGATGATATTGTTTTATTCTACAAATTTCTTCCTTCTTGCTTTCTCCAAAGTTGAATTATTAGTCATAAAATATTTAGGTTTAATGGTCTATCTTAAAAGTAGCAACTCCTCGAATACTTTGCTTTAATACATAAAAATACTTAAAGAAACGTGCATGCCTTTTGTATCTTTCTTTATATCGCCATCTGGTAGGCTAACAGAATGAATATTGATTGCCTTTAGTTGGGAACTAAACAGCATAACTGTAGCTGATTTAACTCCTCAGCAGTGCAAAGCCTCAAACCTATTCAGAAACGAATCTTAGATATCCATATCTCATAGAGAACATTCAGGTTTGCCAGTCGATAGTGAAGACTGCGTTAAAAATAAATGATTTTGTTTCAAACCACTCAAGTGAGTGACGTATTTTGGTTGTATTGCGTTACCTCAGCTGGGTTGTTTAATCGTGGAGCGTTCATCGTCTTTCTAGTGTGGCCCATAAACCAACAAATCCCTCTAAACCCTATTATGCAGACCAAAGGATGCAACAATCGAAGAAGACAAACCGAATATCATTTACAAAATCAACTGCAATAACTGTAGTCAACATTACATTGGACAAAGTGGTCGCCCCACCACCTTCGTCTACATGAACATCAATTGGCTATTAAACGTCAAGACATTTCATCACTCATTTCAATCCATGTGCATAACAACTGTGGACATGAATTCAATTTTGACAATGTAGAAATTTTGGACGGAGAGAGGAAACACAAAAGATATCAGAGAATTCCTAGAACCTTGGCATTCACGTCAGTCAGCAAGCAATAGATGTATAGATGTGGAACCAACCTATCAACCAATAAGAAAAATGATAAGCGACAGAAAGGTCAGGTTAGGCAGAGTGACAGCCAACAGGAAAATCTATACAATCAACGAGACAACAATCAACAGAAACAACCAATCACAAACGAGTTGGTCAGGGCAAGCTACTGAATCATTCACGGAGAAATACTGATAGTTCACCTCATACTGAAGTTAGTACTCATGATGTCATCTAGAAAAACGATGAAAGATCCACGATTAAACAACCCAGCTCAGAGAACACAATACAACCAAGATCACCCACCTGAGCTACAAATATTCTCCAGCATGAGTGACGTATTTCTTTGACTTTTATTGATACCGACACTGCATTATGTCATTCATAAGCTTTATGTTCCCTCTCTCTCTCTCTCTCTCTCTCTAGGTACCAGCTATCTCTTTAGCCTATGAAGAGGCAGAATCAGATATCATGAAACGTATGCCTCGTGATCCATTACACGATCGACTAGTGAATGAGCGTTTAATTGCTATGGCATATGGTCAAATTGGTATGATTCAAGCACTTGGCGGTTTTTTTGTCTATTTTGTAATTATGGCAGAGAATGGATTTTGGCCGAGAAGATTATTAGGTATCAGAAAAGAGTGGGATTCAAAGCTGTCAATGCATTGGCTGACTCTTATGGTCAAGAATGGGTAAGTTATTCAGAAAAGATAAAACGCCTTCCTTTGTAAAATAAATACTCATATTATGACTGTAAATCGCTTGTACAACAGAAGCTGTTTATATTCTGAGGAAAATCCACTCTGAAACTTCACTGGTAAAAAGGTTTTGATCTTGAGTATACCTCTACAAGAAGTGTTCTCTATTATTTCGGTATTCGTATTTTCCAACGAGAATGTAAAACAAAATAAATTTGTTTCAACTCACGTTTATCTATTCAATACTGTTAACAGCTTTATCAAAGTTAGAGTAAATCGAAATTTACAATATACCATCCCACGAGTTTATATATGTGATAACTTGACAAGTGTTCTCCTGCATGAATGATTCTGCGTTGTCAGAGTTGTAGAATAAAGATGATATCCATTTGTAGAGTGTTGTGTGTGGATTACAGATAGGGATTTGTGTGTACACATGTGTTGACTGATAGTTCTTATCGCGATGTATGTTGGTTATGTCAGTATGTGAGGTTGGCTTGAGACCCAGTCAAATCACGTTTTATTTGCTCATTCCTATTTAGACAATTTTGATTCCACTCAATGTGAAGAGATTCTAGCGTGAGACATTCTTTTTAATTTCTAAAGCGACCTTTCTGAATAATTCCGATATTCTCAGTGAGTTGACCTTGTGATCTGAAAATTGTCGTGTGTAGAGCTATGGCTGATGTGTGTTTCTAGTTTTTTCCAGTTTCATTGGATTTCTGAGGGGTCAGGTGGAAGCTCTTCGGTGTTCATTTCAACTAACTTTGATTTCGCGGGAAGTTTATCCCATGTATATTGCACCACAGTCTGAGCACTTTATTATGTAAACACAATTAGATTGTGAATGTAGAGGGATTTCGTCTTTTAAATTACAGAACGTCCCATGCCAGAATCCCTTCACATTGAGCGGAATCAAAATTGTCTAAATAGGAATGAGCAAATAAAACGTGATTTGACTGGGTCTCAAGCCAGCCTCACATACTGACATAACCAACATACATCGCGATAAGAACTATCAGTCAACACATGTGTACACACAAATCCCTATCTGTAATCCACACACAACACTCTACAATGGATATCATCTTTATTCTACAATTCTGACAACGCAGAATTATTCATGCAGGAGAACACTTGTCAAGTTATCATATATATATATATATATATATATATATATATATATAAACTTGTAGGATGGCATATTGTAAATTTCGATTTACTCTAACTTTGATAAAGCTGTTAACAGTATTGAATAGATAAACGTGAGTTGAAATAAATTTACTTTGTTTTACATTCTCATTGGGAAATACAAACATGAAAGTAATGAATATCATTACCCAATGCCCAAATTTTTTCATGCCATCAAATTCTAACATCGTTTGGATACCTATAAAGCGTCCTGTTAATATAACTAAATGTCTTCCTCAAACAGTTTCATCCAGTGAATAGACTTTGTATGATAAAACATCATTTTGTATGGTTTCATAGCCGTTTCCCCTTACATTTCGGAGACAGTTCTCGACATTCACCAGGGAGTCGATATAGAAAAGAATCTTCATATTTGAAATCACTTATGTCTTGTCAGAAATACATTTTGTGTTTGATGCTTCAAAGCTGTTGTTCGTTCAAATGAAGGTAGATTGACTTATATCAGTGCGCAAATCTTGATATTAACTATTCTATTGGTTTATCATATTTTACAGTAATAAGAGATGGATAAGGATGTTATAGTGAGCAGTGTAAAAGTTAGATGTGAAATTTTAAGAAAACGGATTAAGTCAGTTAAAGAGGTTGTCAGCCTTCATCAATTGGAGGTGAATTAAATATTTATTGCTCATTACAAACCATCGCCCACTTCATTACAATATGTTTACTCAAGTCGGATTTATTTTGAAGGGAAGCTGAAAATTTTTTAGACTAAAAAGTGGCTTCAGTTCAATAAGGTCTTTAACTTTTGATCTGATTTACTTAGAGATGTTTCCACTTCTTGATTTGATGTCCATTTGTCAACTAAAATCGACAGTTGGAGACTCTAAGTAGTATGAATTAGGATCGATCTAATAGAACAGATGTATCCAGACCTTATCTAAACTCTAACCTTTATAGTATATGGTTTTATTTAATTTAACGTCTCTTTCTACAAATTTTGGTAAAATCGCTTCGATTTATTTGTAGTATGTCTTGGTGTTCTGTATGTTTATGTATCGATTTGGTGTGTGAATATCTGGGCCACTGGGCAGTAATGCCTAAACCCGTGTTGATATTGATTAATTAATATTTATTATGATCCGGATTTTCAACACCAACGTCAAGTCAGTGCTTCTGTATGGCTCAGAGAGTTGGCGCGTTACGAAAAGCATTTCCAACAAACTACAAACATTCATCAACAACTGCCTACTCTCACTCGTTACTGAAGATCAGGTGGCCAGAAAGAATAAGCAACAAGGAACTCTGGAATGGACCATTCAAGAAGCTATCGCTGAACAAATATGTAGAGGAAGAAAGTGGAGATAGATTGGGCATACACTGAGAAGACCGACTGGGGACATCACATGCCAGGCTAGGCCGTCAAGTGGAACCGAGATGGGAAGCGACGAGTTGGGCGTCCGAGGTGAGGGTGACAAGGAGGAGATCGTAAGACGAAGAAATGAGAGGTTGTGGGCTGTCGTGGAACCAGGTTCAAAAGATTTCAGAGAAGAGAGTGAAATGGAGACGTGCTACTGAAACCCTATGTTCCATTAGGAACCCAAGGGATAAATAATAATAATGAAATAGTATCTTATTAAAAGTATTCCATGTGTCATAGAAAGTCGATGTACTCAAGGAAATAGCTCATTTTGATAGTTTCGAAGTTAGTAACAAAAGCATAGCAAATATCTATTATGACAGACTTATAGTGGCTAAAAGTGAAATCTAAGACGCGCATCTCATCATCTAACTGATCCTGTCAGCCCAATAAGCGATGTAATTTCCACTAACACTTGAACTCCGGATTGATCTATTATAATTGTTAACAATCTCCACATATTTGTGATATCAGTAAGTGTATTATAATTATACTTATGGATAAATCGATTCACAGCACAACAACACTAACAACTTAGAAGTGCATTGGTTTCAGTTATCCTTCAAATACATCCACATACTGATAATTTCGGGGTAGTTTTTTTCTCAAGGACTGATTAAAAACTTGGGAACATTGGACAGATTCTTTGTTCTAGTTTAAGACTTTGTTTCAGATGTAATCTGGGGTTATCAGTCCTCATGGCAAGCATGTTATCATTCAGCCAGTTGGGTCTGAATTCAATAGTTCATAATTTCACCTCCCATCAACATGCGTCATAGATATACTATCATACAATGCCATTGGTAAGTGTGTCCTTAACTTCAAGTTGGTTAACTCAATAACAACAAAAAAAACTCTGAGAAATACATCTCAAAGCGTGTTGAAGGAGGAGAAGAGGATTGATTTCTGATATTTCAATGGAATCTTCACATTGAAGTAGATCTACAGTGTTGTTGTTCAATGAATTGTGATATCCATAACATATTGATTTTTCTACTTATTATTTTCTTTTCTTAGACTTATCAACAGCGTAAACGATTAGAATACACATGTCATACAGCATTCTTTGCATCGATTGTCATTGTTCAATGGACTGATTTAATTATCTGTAAGACACGCCGAAATTCAGTATTTCAACAAGGCATGTGGAATAAATATCTAAATTTTGCCTTATATTTTGAAACTGCATTGGCTTTATTCTTATCTTATTGTCCTGGTTTAGATAAAGCTCTTCGTATGATGCCTTTGAGGTATGTGATTTAATCTACTATTCTTTTAAATATTATAAAAAGAAATGTATAACTTGTATAGTTATGAATCACCTATAGGTGATCTATAGATTTCGCTAGTCAACCAGATCACAGTGATCTGAACAGACGAGTGGCTTGTAATTGCTCATTTTTGGTTAATGGCACTTTAATTTCGGAGATCACACTTTATGATCTTGGCTGAGTGGCTTCTAACTCGATCCCTGCTGACACTACAGTTAAGCAGCTAGAGTCATGGCCTATTCTCTCTCGACGTATTTTTTCAAAATTTTTATTGAAAAGTAGGAACCAATTGGATTCACAGCTTGACTTTCAACCATCGAACCACCTATTTGAAGTTCACTGAGGTTTTAGCTCCTGAGTACAATCATGGTCATCAGAAATTACTGTTAGAAAATGCGTTTTTATTTTGTCATGCTAGTCTGTCTGTGTTTCTGCATGATTCTTTAATCTCTAGCAAACAATATCTTTGGATAAATCTAACAAAAGTAAACAGAAATTCACTCTCGGAATGCCTTAGTTATCGCAACTCTATTCTAACCTCTAAGTAAGTTAAGAATGTGAATAAGAAGCATGAATTCCTCCGAATTCACATAAAGACCTTGCTTTATGAGTGCCAGCAACCAGTGAGGGTGAATACACATATCAAACTCAGTTTTATGTACTGGATGATGGACTACACCTGTTATATGAGGATTGATGAAAATTCTTGATTGTACATTGTTTAGTCACTTCATGTTATGCCTAGTCCTAAGTGCTGATCGAATTCTGTCGATCATTTTGCAATGTAGGCACCAGGCTAGGCGACTCAGCATGGCAGTGCACTTTGATAGATATTAATTGGATAAAGGAAGTTGTCAAGAAGTCCTGCTCGATAATATGAAATTGGTTGCTGCTTAGTGATCGAGTCCCGAATAGCTGAGTGATGTAACGTCTCTCACTGGGTGGTGCAAGTTCAAATCTTAAGCGTAATATCAGTTCCATAGATGTTGCAGATACGCGTTGCTGATGATTACGAAAAAGCATGAAACCTACGTGGAGAAGGATTTTCTGCCGGTTGCACACATTCAACTAACTTTCTAACGGCTCATGACTCAATATATGGTTCAGAAGGGATTTAAAACCATGTATGACTGACTGAAAGTTGAATGAACCACTGTTCTTACATTAGGTCTAATTATAATTCTATGGAGTGGAAATAACTGAATATTTGACCACCAGTAAACACCATCAATGTATAACAGTGATATCAGATATTGTATAACCTACAAGATTATTGAATTACGCTAATTACTCAATTGATATTTTTGTTCTTTATCCTTTGAATTTTTTAGATTTTCATGGTGGCTTCCAGCATTACCATTTTGTTTACTTATATTGATCTACGATGAGACGAGAAAGTATTTACTTCGACGATTACCACCAGGTTCATGGGTGGAAAGAGAAACCTATTACTAAATAAATGTAACAGTAATATACCGTAAATACACATTACAAACACACACTCACGCATACATATCTGTCTATTGTTATTATTACCCCAAGATGAAAAAATGAGTTGATTATTTCTTTCCGGTTCTACTTTTTTTTTCCTCTGATCTATTTTGTTACTTAATATACTACTTATTAAAGAAGAATTTAGTGTATTATATGCCTCTTTCAATGCACACTGCAGATTACTATACATACATGTAGCATATATGTGAAATTGAATGTATAAATACACCTAGACGTGTGCATACAAGCGCCAACCATTAACTGTTTATTCATCAAAAAAGCAATGTATACACACACACATGTTGAATAGGTCTATATTTACACAGAAGTGTATGTAAAGAGAAGGAAGATCCGTTTATCTAACAGTTGGTTTTGTCTTTTCAACCTATTCTCTACCACTTCTTGTTACTGTGTTATGATTACTATGGGAGTAATAATATTAATAATACTAGTAATTACAGTAACCAGGACTTGTATATCATTTTCAAATTCTGACCAACTTTTTTGGGTGTATAGTTTTTAAGATTGTGTAAACTCTTCCGTAGGTAGCGTTTATGACATCTAGTTGTGTATATTGAAATTAAGCTTTTCTCAAAAGTATACTTGTCAGTTTTAGCCAGTGTGACTTATCTGGAACTTCAAGAAAGGTGACATTTCGATGACTATTGTTTATTTAGATAGTGAACTGATGCTTTCAAATATGATGGAAAAGGATACCGTAGATATTCTTAGTGATGCATTTAAATCCATGTTAGAACATATATAGTTTACTCAAGTTGCTCACAATAGTCGTATCATATTAGCCTACATGAAGAATTCATATAATAGAGGGAAGGAACATTGACGTTACTGAAGGTGCTTTTGAGGTTATATTTAGAGACATTAACGTCGAAAAGCGGTTTTCTGTTATTTCGGAAGGTAGTATGGAAGTAAAAACTTCAGTTGTTTAGTGCAAACTACTACTCAGGCAATGGTTTAGATCAAGATGGGATTCTCGCCCGTGTTTAATTATTCACCTGTATTAGAATCAAGGTGCGTTATCAGCATACAGAATAGTGTTGGTTGTCTGCGTAAGAAGTCCTTAGATTGTACCATGAAAGTCATCCTTGTAGACGTTATATTTATACTAACTGGTTACAACTTGATGTGGAGCGTACATTTAGACGATCTCAAAGAGAAAATTTCATAAGACATACAGTAGAAGGGTGAAAACGCTTGGTTATACTGAACAATGAAGTTATAAACACTGTCTACATCTCCTGTGAAGTATACTTTAACAAGTGTTGGATCACGGTTGGTTTACAAGGCATTTTGATTACAGTATGTAATGTATAGTAATGCTGGGTAGTGGCTAGCAGTGAAATCCGAGATGCCTATTTTGCCCTATTTGGGACTCGTCAGCTGGACGTACGTGCCTCGCAGTGAGTGACGTTGTTCCTACCGGGATTCGGACTGAGGAGCGATCGCTTCAAACACGACAGCGTTATCCACTACATTATGTAATGCTTAGAAATAGTTCCTTTTTTGGAATGAAATGACTTACTAAGAGTGAAAGATGTTTTGAACCACGATAACTTTCAAAACCATATTTTCCAAGGAGTCGGTCTAAAATTAATCAGATATCAACTTGAAATAAAACATCAGCGTTTCGATTTGATTTCATGCATATAAAATATCCACTGTTGTTCATATTTTGTCCTACAACCTGTCAAAATGGATAGTCTGTTGGAAAATTGACGAGAATTAAAAAGTGGACAATGACTATTCGTTTGTTTACTATCTGAAGTAATCTCGTTTTGTACACTAGTAACTGACATAATTGTTTACATCAACACTGGCGATAAAAAAACTAGGAATGATATGAGACTAACTGAAAATAAAAAGATATCCATCGAAGATACCTTTGAGAGCCCTGACTAGATGTGTTTGCTGGCGTAGTGAAAAACATGCATTATCATTCCCGTGAAGCGAAATGCCTATTGTAATCAGTCATAACTCAGTTTCATGACACAAAAGTTGATTGAAACATAATACTTGATGAGATCAAAAAATGATGACAAACTTCTGGGATATTTTCAAGTCTAAACTTACCAGTTTTCTTGAAATTCTCGAGATTAGTTTATTTATTGCCGTTGAACTGAACTCCGGTTGATCAAGTCAACTGGTTACTTTTTAAGTGCGAAATCGAACCCCATCATTTCAATTACTTTGCAGTTAATCCCTATTCAAAGAGAAATCATAATCGGTCAGTATCAACTTTGTACCTGACACTAACACATAACGCTTCAGATTGGCATACCTCACTTGAGACTGAAAGATGCAGATATGCGAAACGAAGTCATCAAAAGTGGTGGAAAGTCGTGACAAGAAAGGGAAGTGAGGTAAAACGATGAGGTCTTCCTGAATGATTACTAGTTTAACGACAATCTTAAGGGTATCTGTGCCACTGGGACCGACTGGTTGTCAAATGGCTCCCAACAGTGAAGATGACATTTCACAGCGCCGCTTAGACCAACAGTTTGAGACTTCATGGATTAATGCCATATATTAGTCTGCCCATCACTGATGATTTTCAACCTCAAACCTTTTTCAGCTACCGTTGCACGATTGGGTAGATAGTGACTAATCACATCTGATAAAGGAAAGGGTAAATAATGCGCAAGAAGTGATACTTCAGGATGAAAACTTGGTGAGTGGATGGTGTAACTTTCTCAATTCTAGTCAATTTCGTGATAATCAGTCCAATAGGAACTTCATGAACATAAATATGGGTTGACAGGCATAAAAAGTGCGGTTGCTAATCGGAAATAACAATGTCTTATGCAGTCCTAATATGTCTGACATAATTCACTTGTCTAACAAAACAGTAACTATTCAACATATATGATTCATATGCACTTAGATGACACTTTGTGGTACTGACAAGATCATAATTTGACATAACACCATCTACCTATCGGTTTAAGCAAATGATTTTTGTCAATTTTCAACCTTGCAAAGTTTGTCTTTCCAAACGAAAGTAGTCTATTTGACGTGTAGTGAGCAGGCATATTGTTCTTCAAAGCAAAATAATAAAAACTCTCAGGGTCATCTGCACTTATAGATAATCTTGAAAACATTTAAGGACGTTATTCTTACACAGCTGAAAAGAGGTGACTATTGAGTGTGCAAATACCGACCGAGAAGTGAAATACCGCTCAGTATCCTCCTCTGTCTTACTAATCTGACTGCGCAACATCAACATTGAAAGATTAGAGAAGGTGGTAGGGTGTCATTGTAATGCTACTCGTTAACACTTTCAGATTAAAGATTTGGAGGTTTGTGTGGATTTGTTTTTTGATTAATTTACTGGGTTGCTACCCAATGGTTCAATGGTAACGTACTGACCATGGAACGTGAAGGTCCTTGGTGGGGCGAGGTCATAGGTGTCCACTTCTAAAGAGTTCCATACAAGGATGAAAGAGCTTTGCACTGCTCCTAAGTTTTCAATGTTCTTCCAGCTGATTTCAGTCCATGATGAATACCAAGCTAAAGTGATTTCCTTTGTATGGCTTGGAAAATCTGCTATGATTACTACAGCTGGGCAGGTTGAGTCATCCCTTAGTTAACGTAAGATATAATCTGGAACATATTAAGACTAGTCAAGATTTATGGTTAATTAGAAAAATCAATGAATTCACTGAGCGTTGATCTATGCCTTCAACAAATCTACTGCTACAAGATTTTGAAATTCAGCACATCAAGACCTTATAATACATAATTCACCAAAAGACTGTATAACAGCAGATCTGTCATTTCAGTACGTTCCTCAAAATACCGTTGTCATCAATACTATTCTTGTTTAGTTAGGTCCACTTTAACTTCTTCTGAATTCCAGTCAGCACTGCTGTACTATTTGGCAACTTGGTTTCATTTGCTCTTGTAGTTGGTAGTGTGCTGAGTCACAGATATGGATGAGTTCTGTGTTCTATACTTTTTGAATCAAGCTTCATGTCAAAATGTACTACAAATAGCTTCTTAAGCGAAATATATTACTAAAATCAGGTATAATTTAGACATTTCGAAGAGAAAAATGGTTGTTTGTAGTTGTTCGGTTTTTTTGAAAATAGAGATGATCCATTGGTAACATTTGGAGCATCTGTCTGTAACGCGGGATAAACAGTGAAATTCAGGTTTTTGGAAAGCTTTAATAGTATCCAGGAAACAATATCAGTGACTATGTCAGTGTGACACAGCAAGTGATTTAATAAATCAAAATATATGTAATATTAAGGTAATTTAGTTGGTTGTGGCTAGCAGAGAAATCCAGGACACGCGTTTCGTCCTATTTGGGACTCGTCAGCCGGATGTACCTGCACCCCAGAGTGATATTGTTTCCACCGAGACTCAAACCTCGTACCCATCACTTCAAACCCTAAGGCGTTATCCACTATGCCACTGTACCACAACTAACTAAATTACCATAATTGCCAGTCAGGCAATATCGAGGCATCCGCATAGAAGCCCATATGCCGATAGAGGTCGAACAATTCGATCCAGTAAAACAGCGGAGAATTACGAGTATGTCAATAAATATGTAGCATTAGTTGACACCTAATGATTTTTACTTTATTGTTTAGGATGAGTATGATATCACAGTTGCCCTTTGCACAACTTACCTGGCTGTCCTGATAATTCCTGGAAGTTACAGCTACTCTGTATTTCATCAATAAAGATGTTAATTACTATTTTAGTTTAGCGTTCAGAAATCAGTTCTATCTGAGCCTAAGCTTTTGATCCTAAGAAAAATTTTAGTCAACCGGTGTTGATCTATGAAGTAACCTCTAATCATGTATCTTTTGAGTTGATCGTCTTTTAAATAAATGGGGTTTTAATTCTTTTGAGGATAACTTTTTTCTGGCAGGTTATTTTGATGTATAATATCAGTTTAATTAACCATGTGGAGGAGTATGTTTATTGTCTGTTTAATATATCACACTTTGATATGTCTTTATTTATTGGGTAACACAACTGAAAACTTCCTGCCGATTGACTCCAACCAAATGAAACTCATCAAAGTATACAGTGATGACAAGCGTCCCAGCTTGGTGGTCAAGTTGCAAAAATGACCAATAGAGTTTGGTCATCACTCATGACTAGACAGT